TGCCCAGGCTTCACTTCCTCTGGGAAAATTCACGCACTTGGGCTGTGTAGTTGGGCCGAAGGTGAAGCAAATCCCTGCCCACTGGTCTTGGAGATGCCGTGAAATCACAAGTGGGAACGCGGGCTGCTGGGGAGGAAGGGAGATGGTTGCATCCATCCCCTTGGCCCTCGGTCTGGCACAGAGGACAGGCAGGCAGACCCCTACCCTGTTGCATGAGGGGCTGCCACCTCCCCAGTCATGACAGGGCACGGCAAGACCCTGTTTCCTCTGCTCTGAGACCCCCTCATTCCCAACCTAGAACCTGGAGTTGCACTTGGTGTCAACTTGATACCCCCACAAACAGCCACATCTTAGGCCATGCGAGATACTGATTTATTTATTCACAGTCTTACCCCATGGCTGAATGCTTTGCCCATGGTCCCGCTGCAGAGAATGTAGTGTTGGTTAGACCCCCTGCAGAGCTATTAATACCCTGTGAGTGAGTCATTCGAGCAGTGCTGGTTGAAATGGTGTCCCTTCACTTTCTGTGTAGGGGGGAAAGAGAAAATACTTCTAACATATGGCAACTGTATTTTCTAATATCCCAGGTCCAATTCTAATATTTCTATTTGCTACTTTGGGGTTATTAAAACTGTCTCTATCAACAGATACTATTATTCAGGAGAGAGTTTAAGTTACTCAGGAGTTCATGAGATCTCAGATCCAGAAACTTTTTCCAAGAAGTTTGGAAATGCATTGCTGGTTAACAACGCAGAGTGTTTGGTGAGAAGAGCAGAGGATTGGCCTTCCCCCTCTTGTTAGGGTTTTAGTACAAACAACCCTGACTTAGTGACCGCCAGTGGGGCTGCTACCATTCTGTCTGCCCGGCCCTGGTCTTCCTTCTCCTGGGCTTGCCTGCTATGTTACTCAAGATTATCGGGTGGCCAGTAAAAATAAAAACCCAAAGCAAATGAGCTTTAGTAACACACAGGGACGTGCTGGCTCCTGTAACCAGGCAGGAGGAGAATAGGGCTGGGTTACTTTCAGGAAGGGCTGGATCCGGGGCTCTAAGGCCCCCGAGGGTTCTTAGTTTCCTACCTCAGCTGCTTCCCGTGTGTTTTTTTCAGACCAATCTTTCCATGACACATGGCAGTGGACGTGAATACTAGTGGATCCAGATGCATAGCCTCCAGCTGTGCGGTGATGTAGGAATTGCGTTTCTATGGCTTACATTTCAAAGGAGTAAAAGGGCTCCTCCCTCCCAGATCCAGCTTTGACATGCCTGTGGAGGACAGTGATTGGCGAAGGGTACCCTGGGACCAATTTGTTGCCCGAAGTGATGGGAAACCCCATAACTATAGCCAGGAGCATGGGATATGTTAATAAAAGAATGGGGGCAGGGCGGGGCTGGGCAGAAGACAAGACAGGCCCCACATCTCCCTTCTTCTGGAAACTGCCACTTCCCCTCCATCCAGAGGGAACCACCCTGGAAGACTGACCCTTCCCCTTTGCTGTGACAGTTAGACATGGGCCCTTGCTGGTCCATCAGAGTCTCTCCCAGGAACTCAGAACTGGGGCTTGGCGATACCGGTGTGGCCTATGGCTTGCTTGTACTGAGGAGTGTTGGAGGGACCGTTCTCCTACCATCGGGTGGGAGGACTGTGACACAGAAAGAGTGGGGCGGCAAGACGAGAGGGAACGGGAGCAGCGATTTACCGAGGGAAGCAGGTGCAAAGGGCTACACACCCTGACGGGGTCCATCTCCTGGTTCCCCTGTTCCCTGGTGTCCAGCCACATCCTGCTGCGAGCTCTGCGCAGGCAGCGACCACTATCCTCGCAACCCCCCTTGCCCTTAAGGAAGCTCAAACTGCATTTCTACGGCTTGTAATCGAAAGCCTTCTGATCCTCTGTGTTATCCCAGAAAGACAGCCACACCCCGGACCCTGACACACAGTGCAGGGCAGGGTGAAATGGGTGGGTTCTCGCACCCGTCTCCCTCTGCTGAGCCCAAGCTGTCGGTCTTACTCTGTGACATCCTGGAAGTTATTTGACCTCTGCAAGTCAGTTTCCCTACTTGTGAAGGGAACTATCGAGAGTAGCTGCGTGGCTGTGTTGCGAGAATCAAACGAGTCAATCCACGTAGAGTACAGTGCCTGGCATGTAAAAATCACTCAGTAAACATTAGTTGTTACTCACAGTAGGGGAGGGCAGCAGTGTCTGGGAGACGGCCCAGCCAGGGATCACGTCCTGGCTTGCTAGGTGGGCAACCCTCTGGCGGTGACCATTCCAGACACGTGGCTGCCAATACGGAGAGGGGATAACAAGGACTTTCTCTAAAAAGTTGAATTTTACTGTAATGCTTGTATTGCTCTTCCCCAGGGTGCCCTCCCTATTGACAAATTTAGGAATTAATTACATCTCTTTATAAGTTACTCTGTTTCACATGTTCTGGTTGAGCCAAACTGCACTGTCGGCTGAAACAGAGACTGGACAATGGAGGGCAGCGGTTAAGGGCACAGATGCTAGAGACAAATGACCTGTGTTTGAACTCAGGTCTTGCCACTAACTGGCCTGGTGTCCTCAGGCAAGTTACTTAACCTCCTGTGCCTCAGATCCCTCATCTGAAAGTGAGGGTGAAGTGGCTAACAGTAGCTCACAATGACGCTACCGAATACGCTGTTGGGAGGATCGAAATGGTTAACACTAAGTGGAATACTCAGAAGGTTTGTGCTTATTAGTTATCTCACACAGAGCCTAGCACCCTGCTATATAAATAGTTTTAGCAATAAATACATGTTCAGTTCTATAACTTTTTCTTGCAGATGTAGTGCATGCATAATGTGTAACAATGAGAATGTATATAAGGTAGAGATAATGCATATGATAAAAGAAAAATACTAGCAATGCCACTGCTCAGAGATAATACTATTAGTATTTTCATATATTCCATTATTAATTAAATGACATTTACTGAGTGTTTAGTATATGAAAGGCTTTACACTCTTGCTAAAGCTGTAACAGGGAGCAAAAAGCGAGCTAGTTCTTTCCTCATGGAGTTTACAGTCTAGTGGGTGGAAACGCACCTTCAAGTAATGATGCAGATACGTGCGGTGGTGCAATCGTGAAATATGCTGTAAAGGAGAGGTATATGGGTAGTAGGGATATGAGCTGGTTGTGAAGGCCTGTTTTCTAAAGGTTATGAGGAAATGGTTACTGAGCTGAGAATTAACTCAAAGAAATGCACTCAGTGAAGTCAGAGGGCAGAGTGTGACCAACAGGAGCACAGTAAATCCAAAGGCCCCGCTGTAGGAGAGAACATGGCGAGGAGAAGGGAGCCGGGCGTTCCAGGCCGCTGCCGGGCGCACTAGATCGCACCGCTGATTTAGGGAGACGGCAGACCTAGCAGAGCTTCGTGTGCTTAGTTTAGAAATTATATCCTCTATTCATTAAAAAAAAATTTGGCCAGGGACACACTTGTTTTACATGAACAGGATTTATAATACATATTGCTTTTATTATGAACATTTTTTGAACAATAAGAGGTAATTTATCTCTTATTGTTGGAAATACAGGTTGTTTTCAGCATTTTCACTTTTTCTAAGGTTTTCTACATATGGACATTAGTCCAAATATTTCTTGGCATCAAATTTCTACAAATGTAATTCCTGGTTCTGCAAATTTGTTAACATATTTTCATCGTAATTGTGTCTGAAAAATTAGCATATGCAACTGTCAAGATGTGGTGCTGTGTGAGGTGATGGTCTTTTGAGGTTGGCTGGACTCTCACACCCACAGGCATTCTGCGTGCCTTCAGAGCCTGCTGCTTCATTCTCTTCAGTGTGTGAGGAAGTCCCTTCCATTTATGATCTCCACACTCCTTCCCTCAAGTTCAGATCACCCGGTCCTGGCTGCAAACAAAGCATCTTTCGCGACAGCTTTAGAAGCCTGACTGTCCCACTCCTGGGCTCCGAGGAAGAGGAAAAGCTTTCTTATCTGTCGCCAAAGGATCTTCCTCTGGCCTGGAGACACGCTGGAAGCATAGCCAGTTTCTGACAGTCCTTTCCTCTCCTCTGGTCTCCTACTTGGTCCAGTTCTATTTTCAAGGGTTAAAGTCACCGCCTTGGGGTGAAGTTCAGATGACTCCATGACAGACTGAGGTGTCCCATGCTAGGAGCTGACAGACGCCATTTCCTCCAGAGTCTGCGTCTTCCATCTCTGCTTTTGACATCAGGCAAACTGTCCTTTCCCTCGTTCAAAGTCCTGTTCGTATCTTGACCCTTGGGTTACCTTCGAAGGACCCACCGACCGTTAGGCCATAATTTCTAGGCTTCTGATGATTAACATAGCCCATCGGTTCACACCTTTCTTGAATTGCTCTTTGCATTTCATTTCTTCAGTGCACAAACAAACAAACCAACCCGTTTCCAAGGTCCAGGGGACGCTCTCGCTGAAGCAGCCAGACGTTGGGCAGGCCTTGGAAGGATACTGGGTGTCTAGGTCAAGCGAAGCTTGCCCTGTGCCAGGTACCGTGCTCACTGAATTATATAGATCATTTCTTTAATCCTCTTAACAACCCTGTGGGGATAGGTATCATTTACGGTCCCCATTTTGCAGGTTAGACAGGTTAGAGGTTTAGGGAGGTTGTCACTGATCCACAGTCACGCATCTACTATGTGGGGAGAGGTCCCCACTTCTGCTGGTAAACTGAGGAGGTGAAGCAAAGGGAGGCAAGCCAAGAAAGAAAATGCAAACGGACTAAAGAAGCCAAGGAAACGTAAGCAAGCGGGCGGATGCGGCCCCTTTCCTGTCTCCTTTCCAACCCGGGCTGAGCCACCGTGAAGCCCTAACGCCTCCCAGCGGCCGCCTCTGTCCCCGCAGCGCTTCCGGCCGCGGGAGTCTGTCATTAACCAGCGCCCTGCGTCGGCGCCGACCACGTGCGTGCGTGCGCAGTAAGACGTCGGTGAGGAGGCGGGTCTTCCGGCCCTGGCCAAAGCCACTTCCGACAGGAGCCGGAAGACGGTGCCGGGTGGCGTCGGGGGCGGCGCGGTGCCGTAGGTGAGCTGTGCGGCTGCCCGCCTTCCCGCGCCCGCTGGTCGCCTCATGCTGCGGGCCGCGGCCGCCAGCCCCCGCTCGGATCGGCGGCGCTGAGGCGCGGGGCAGCGTGCATCATGTCGTCGGCTCTCCGCGCCGCCGACTTCCCCCGCTGGAAGCGCCACATCTCGGAGGAGCTGCGGCGCCGGGACCGGCTGCAGAGGCAGGCGTTCGAAGAGATCATCCTGCAGTGTGAGCGGAGGGCGGGCCCCGGGAGCGGGCGGGCAGACGCGCCCCGCAGGGGCACGTGCGGCGCCAGCGGGGACCGGGGGTCAGGGCCCCGGCACCGCGTGCCACTCAGAGCCCCGGACCTTTTGTTCAGAATAGAGCGTTCCCTCTCTTTCATTTTACCCTTGGGTGTGACCATGCAGGGTTTCCCCTGCTAAGCTGTGTGCTCTTCGTAAGCGCGCACCGTTCACGTTTGGTCTGGAAGTCCCAGCTGTTCACGCAGTACTTGTGCCCTTAAATAGGCAGGCTCCAGGAACGGGCGCTGACTTGCATTAACTCGCGCAGCTATAAGTCGTCTTCAGAATGTCATGAAATGTTTGGCCTTTGATTTTTCAGGCCTCTTGCCCTTGTTCCACTTTGGTATTCCTTGACTGTTGCACATTTTGAGTCTTCACGTACGTTAAAATTGGGACATCATAGCTCTTACTGGTAGTGAAAACTTCGAATGAAAGGTGGTTTTCTTCCATCCCCGCTGCATTTTGAGTACGAAAATGTACTCAAGGCGCGTTCTAATGAGCATTTCCTCGCCCCCTCTTCCCCAATTTTATCTTAACTGATGACATTTGGGGTGAGAAATGGGCACTCTTCTGTCCTATGGTTTTATCCACCCCTTGACGTCAGCCTGATCGGTCTCTCCCGTTATGTTGATTGATGAGATTCATCGTAATAGTACTTGCCCTTTGTTGAATTCTGATTGTGCCAAATCAGTGGTTGCGAAAGCCACCTGTGCATTTGAATCACCTGCGGATCATTGAAATATTACCAAGCCAAGGCCACACCCCAGACCAACTGTGAGCAGCAGTATGTAGGGGAGGGACACAGCATCAGTATTTTTTTTTTAATGCCCCCCAAGTAATTCTTATTGGCCAATACGCTTGAGTACTGTGGTGAACATTTGGCACGTACTGTTTTACCTGATCTTCCTGAAAATCCTGTGAAGCAGGTCCTGTTGTATTTTTCACTCTTGAGGCATCTCTCTGGGGTGGCAAGTCCCACAGATTAATGGTGGGGCCTAGATTTGACCACAGGTTCGATGGCTGCTACCTTGCATTTGCTTTACTCACCAGGTCCCCCAAGAACTGGCCCTTCCTTGCTTTCGCTGAGCCCATCCTCTTAACAAAGACAGGAAGGAAGAGAGGAGGCGGCCCCCTGTTGTGCCTTATACTCAGAGGCCGGCAGACCCTCTTAATCAAATGTGATTCCTCTGCTGCTTAAGTAAATTCAAGCCATCAGGTGTTTGTTGAGTGTCTTTAAAAGCTAATCACACTGAAAGGCAAATTGAATTGGAGATCTGACTCCACCCCTTACTGGCCATTTCTTCGCTGGCCTTTCCAAGTCCAGTTTGCCGCATCTTTAAAATGGGGGTGAAGCTTGCCCTGCTTCATCAACTCACGGCTGTGTGTGCAAGTGCTTTGAAAGCCATGTGCGTAATAGTCTATAAATGTAATCACATCGCCTGTAATCACGTCAGCACAACTTGAATGTTTTTCCGCACATTAAAATGGACATCTTGATGGTTGCACGAGGATGTAGGGGGGTCCGGAGAGGGCAGTGCTGGAGAGAGCAAACCCCTCTAAGGAGCTGGGGCGCTTAGAGCCTGCCGAAGGGCTCGGAGGGGCAGCAGAGCAAGACCGCCTTTCTTTAGGCTGGGGATGGACACTTGCGTTTGACCGTGGACCACCCCCACCCCTCAGTCCAGCCTTCCCAGTCAGCTCTCACTGCCCGTCAGCCGGGAGTCTCCTGTTCAGTCCCTGCCCCGGAGCCTGGAGAGAAAGATGAGAAGAAGCTGTGGGGACAGGGCACATCGTCCTGCCATCTGCATCCTTCTCTTAGTGAGAAGAACATTGAGGAAAGATGCCTCCTGAATACCTCATATTCTTTGAAAGACCTACTGTTACCACAGGAGCCCCCGCTCTGGTGTTACACATGGAAGATCTTTGACACTGGTGAATATCCAAGGTCGGAAGCACTTTCCTGTTCTGCTGAGCTAGTTCATTAAGTCAATGTAGATGAAGAGAGGTTTCTGTTTCTGCCCAGGAACTCCATTTTCAGATAGAAAGGAGAAATACAACTCAAGCCTCTTTAAGAGAAGAAAGAAGCTCTCCCTTCATGAATAGTCACTAGTATAAGCCCTACCAATTTTTGTTCTTAGGCAGTTACAGTCTCAGACTTTTAGGGTTCGCAGCAACCCCCATCAAATGGAGCCATTCTACAAGTTTCCCATGGGCACTTTCTTGTTCTGGTCAGTGTAGCCCGCTCCCACCTGGTCTTGTTGGTCCCCTGTGTGCCTGTCATTCCTAAGTCCATGTCATTTCTAGCCGTGACTTTTCTTTTGAGTGCCTGCACCACGTTCCCTGTCACATTTGTCACGTGCCGAAAGAGAACTAGTTTCTCCCTTAAGCTCTCTGCTCATGTGTTCCCTGACACAGCAGCATCTTCCGCTCAGCTTCCTGAGCAGGGAACCCCAGAATGATTTTTGACCTCTTCCTAATATCTCCTCATGTCACTGACTCCTTGTCATGTCTGTTATTTCACCACTGCCACTTAAGAAAAGGCCTGAATTTCTCATCCTGCCCGTCTTGCACGTGCTGGCTCCAGCTGTTATTTCCAGCCGCCCCTCAGACAGCTCTGCCAGCCCTCCCTGCTGGACCGTCATCTTCACCTATGAAACCATCGGAGAGAACGAGTCAAGGATTACTCTTCTCTTCCTTTTTATACTTCGGCGCTCCCCACACCCACCCCAGGGCACTGGAGCTCTCATTCATATCTGTTTCCCTAGTGCCCTGATCTGAAAATGAAATTGTCCAAATGTAATAATAAGGTGTTTTGTATTACCTAGAGGTACATAGTATTTCGTTTCTCCATTGTGTTTGGTACATTTCTTATTTTTAACTCCCGAGTAGACATAGGTAACTGGGAATAGAAAGCATTTTCGACTGCCTTTAATAGGGGGATCCTTCTTGCAAGATTGTTTGCATAGGTTCCTTTGGCTGGGCTGCCCTTGCTTAGGGCAAGCAGCATCTGAAGCATCCATGTTCCTGGGTTTTGGGTAATTGTTATAATTGGTGACAAAGTACAGTATTTAGTACTTTGATACCTAATAAAAGTGAAACCTACCCAGTCTTCTGGGGTTTCTTTTTGTCCAAATCTTGATAAGACATTAAGTAGTAAAAAAAGAAAAAAGTATGTCGGTTCTAATAAAGAGCTTGATTTTTTTCTCTCTCTTTCTGTCCTCCACCTTTTTTTTTTTTTTTTTTTTGGTAGATAATAAGTTACTGGAAAAGTCAGACCTTCACTCAGTGCTGGCCCAGAAGCTACAAGCGGAAAAGCTGGACATACCCAACAGGCATGAGATAAGGTATTTTGAAACTCTCCTGTACCATCTGTATGTCCTCCTTAACTGAAATTAGTTCAGTTGTCACTTCTCTAATTTAGAAGCAAACCAGGTTGTGTTCCTGGTTTTGTCAGCCCCTTTTAGATAAGAACCTCTGAAGCCAGATACTATTTTTTGCCATATATAATACAGTGCACTTTTTTGCCCAGATTTTTGAGGGAAAAATAAGGACGTGCATGATGCATGGATAGCGCTAATTCCATATCTATATAAATGTATTTAATTATTTTATTTATGCTCATGTGTTAAAAGTGTAACTCTAGAAAGCAATGACGATATCTGTTTGCAAAATAATACCCTGGAATATGAGAATACAAAAAGCAAGTATCTAAATACAAATAAATAATTGAATTAAACAATTAAAGCGAATGATTTTTTTTCACCTGAAAGTCTGGGCCAAAAACACGGGTGTACATTCTGGACAGCCAAATGCGTTAACTAAAACCACTTCTTTATGGCAGGGACAGGCCCACCCTGAAGGGCTGTCATTCGTAGGGCTCTGTAAGCTGGAGAAGCTGCTGGAGGCAGGTCGCTAGGCCGGGCTCGCCTCTGGCCGGCTGCACCGCGGTCGCCGCCTCACCCGGCGGGCGCTCTGCAGCCCATCTACCTCGATCTTGTTAACACAACGTTGCCATCAGTTGCTTTCTGTACCAGGCAGGTCTATTTGATGTGTTTGTGTTCAGTGTTTTTCAGCATATTTTAGTAGATTGTGAAATTAAACTAACCGGTTGCAACAAGCCCTCTTTTTAAAAAGAAAGATTAGGAAAAAGAGCTGCATTTTTTATAGGAGGGTGAGTATCGTCTCATTAAATATGCACATATGTGTTCGTGGTGGGGATACGATGTGTTCACTTGGGTCACTTATGTAAACTATGTTTCTTTTTGAGAGTCATAGTCCAAAAACCTGAAAGCCATTCTTCATCAAAGTAGCTGAAATGGAACCATCCTGGGTTCTTACTATTTTCTTTTCCCATGTGTTTGTGTTTCCATATTAAATTTGATGGTTTGTATGGAAAGAGTACCCATTATTGCTCTAAAACTGCCTTATGTTCACATTAGTTAACATTTAGCAACTTTAAGAACAAGGTTGACAATAATCCAGAGTTTAAAAAAAAAACCAACCAGAAATGCCAGGAGTGGCTGTATGTCTCTGCCCCTGCGGCGGAGCGGGCTGTGTGCCTGACTGTCGGCCACCCGTGTTTCCGCGGAGGGCGCGAGGGTTTCCTGGCTCACTGACGCGGGGAAGGGGAACAGGTGGCCCCGGCTCCACCCTTGCCTAGTAGCAGTCCCGCAGAGTGTCCCTGGCTGGGAGGCCTTCTGTAGCACTGAGAGCAAGAATACTTGGTTCAGTGTCCTGGTCAATTTTAGGTGTATAGAATACCATTTCACCCTTTCATCTGAAATCAATCAATGGAAAGTTTAGAACAATTTATTTTTACCAGGTTAGTCCCTTGGTGATTATATTCCTGTATTTATCTGTCAGTCTAACTGACTTGCTTAGAAAGGTTCTGTAAGTATCCCTGGCTGGTGTGGGTCAGTGGATTGAGCGGAGGCCTATGAACTAAAGGGTCGCCCGCCGGTTCGATTCCCAATCAAGGGCACATGCCTGGGTGGGGGGCGAGGGGCGAGGGGCGAGGGGCGAGGGAGGCAACCACACAGTGATGTTTCTCTCCCTTTCTCCCTCCCTGTCTCTAAATCTTAAAAAGAAAGGTTCTGTGAGTGAATGTCAAACAGTTCTTTTGGCTGAATATCACAGGGGCTGTAATTCAATTGGAACGCCTTCCTTCCCCCACAGACTTGTGTTCTTAATCAGGCCTCTCCTGGCCTTTTCCACGAGTCTTCTGTGGTTCCTTTTTCCCTGGGGGATCGCATCCCTCCCCACGTACATTCAGTTCCCCAGGCCTGTTGACTCCGCCCACAGTCCCCTGTGCAGCTGTCTCTCAGTTTACATTTATTTCGCTGCCACACCCCCCCTCCCCCGCTCCTTCCCTTCCTGCACTGTGGCAGGAATCTCTGCAGTCAGGTATTTAGTGTGACTTGGACCAGGTGTTAGGGACGCAGAGACAAGCTAGGCGCCCCTGCTCTTGAGGAACCAGGTCTGGTAGGGGGACCGACGCAAGGTGCTTTTGCTGGTGTGGTCAGTGCAGCAGAAGATGGCTGCCTGGCGGGGTTTGTTAAAAAAAATTCAACTGAGTGAATTTGAAGATCTAGTTGGATATCTTAAGATCTAATTTGTGAATCTGGCAGCATCTCCTCTAGCAACTAGAAGGGCCCTGTAAGGAGTTTACAAAATAGGAGGCTTTTATAGGAAGAAGGGTGGGGCAAGGGAGTTACTAACTAAATAAAAGAAAGGACTGTGGCCCCTCCCAGGAGCTTTTATCCGGCAGATTGTCTCTTTGGGGAGGGAGAAAATGGAGAGGGCCCCTGTGGCGTTACCTTTTTGGCGTTGCCCAGAAACTTCTAGGCTGCTTAGTTAATCTGGGAGAGGTTGGACCTGCAGATAGATCAGGTATTAAATCTGGGTTTGGGATTATGCACCAGCGACGCCATTTAAGTTTCCTTCTCCCTCCTGTCTCCTTCGTCCTGCCCCTCTTGTCCTGACTAAGCTTAATAGAATTGTGTACTTGAAACCTGTATAATTTTACTGACCAGGACCACGCCAATACATTTAATGAAATTTTAAAAATCTTTAAAAGCTTTACTTATATCAGTTATCTAACTTCCCTCTTAAGTGTTTTAATCCCTTTGCCTAATAAATAGATTAAAATTAAACTCTTCAGCCTGGAAATGATGGGTTCCAGTAGTTTTTTAAGTAGGTTTCCTGGACATTTCCTTCTAGTCTCTGGTCGTGCACGACACGACTTTGGAGAAGCTGCCTGTAGTTAACTGCATGGGACAGGACCCCTGTCTCTCTGTTCCCCTCTCAGCCCTGCTTGGTTTTTCTCAGCACACCGACCACCTGCCCTCCTGGGATTGTGTGCTACCCCCCGGCTCTCAGCTGCTGGTCAGCTGCGTGGGTGCAGAGCTCTGTGCGCGCTGCCCTGCCCGGCCCTGGGAGCGGCGCCCAGCACAGAGCTGGTACTCGCAGGCTTGCCCAGTGAGTGGCCTGCTTGGCTCCTCTATAGTTACCTCACCTTCGCTCCTGACACGCCTGGTGGTTTGGGGGGTGGCTGGTCTCCCACTTTCTGCGTCAGGTTGGTAGTGACTTATTATTCCCCTCGCCTGGAGAAACTGACCCTCTTTATTGATTGCTATGTTGTCATGTTCAGGGTTGAAATTGTGGAGTTAATTGTTCAACTACCTGTTTGGGGGGTCTTGAGTTCTGATTTCTTTCCCCCGTTCTCTTTCTTCGCGCGTTCTCTCATCTGCCTGGTCTGGGGATGCAGTCCCGGCCACGATGGCGCCTGGAATGACGGCCAGCTGCAGGAAATGGCCCAGCTAAGGATGAAGCACCAGGAAGAGCTGACTGAACTGCACAAGAAGCGCGGGGAGGTAAAGGCAGCGCTCCCCACCTGTCTTCCGCTCTGTGTGGGTCTCGCGGCGGGGTGGACGGGCGGCCTCCCTGGCCGCGTGTGGCATTGCCAGCTCTGTCTGAGGGAGAGAAACGGCGGGAAAGGTGTGAGGCCTTTGCCTCCATCAGCAAGGGGGCGAGCCACCGCGATAATGGCCCGGGCGTCATGCTCCAAGGTGGCAGGAAAGGGACAAGTAAAGAAACTTGAAAGAAGCTTTCTGCTTGGCCCACTGAAAGTCCTACCTGTGCCTTCACAGAACTGGTGAGAGAACTCACAGGCACAGCACAGATGGGCGGTTACCAGGGGAGGGGGCGGGGAGGGGCGAAACGGGCAAAGGGTCTCTAACGTGGTGACGAATGGAAACTAGACTTTTGGTGCAGAATACACATGCTGAATTATATATAGTGTCGCACACCTAAAACTTCTATAACGTTATAAACCAATGTTGCCTCAATAAAGAAATTTTTTAAAAAGGTTTTGAGAGAGAATCCTGAAATTTCAGGAAGAATCATGAGAAAGAATCAAATCCTGGGCTGTGTTGACCCTGGATGGTATTATGATGGCAAATTATGAAAATGTACAATTTATAGATCAGCTGAATCGATCATTTTATCAGCAAAAGAGCATGCAGAAGTTCTTGGGGTGATGGAGTAGACCGGCGTCCTCCTCAGCACCTGGCGGCCACCTGGAGCCTTTGCACCCACCGAGCCTGCCGTTGGCAGGGATGCGTCATGTCCCTATATTTCTTTCCTAAAGATAAAGTCACACGCTGTTGCTTAGTTTCCAGCTGAGGCCCTGACGTCTCGTATTCATGAACGTGTTCTTCGTTACCCCCTAGTTAGCCCAGCTGGTGATCGACCTGAATAACCAAATGCAGCAGAAGGACAGGGAGATGCAGATGAATGAAGCAAAGTGAGTAGAGGCAATGCCCCCCTTGGGCTGGTCGCGGGCTCGCACCATTTTCTTTCCTGTGCTCTTGTGAGCAGGGCCGGTGCTGATCGGGGGCAAGTGGCAGCCGCAGTGGGCTCAGCAGGGGTGCTGGTTTCGTGCATGTGTGACATGGGATGGTTTTCTACCTGCTGTGAGGGGGAGAGGCAAGGACAGTGCCGCAGCCTTCCAGGGCCCCAGCACACTCCTGGGGAGGGCCCCCGGGGCAGTCACGCTTCTCGCAGTGGCCACCGGCTGTGGCAGCTGGTGTCTGCTGTGGTGAAGACGGCCCGGGTAGCCAGTGTGTGGGCCTCGAGGACAGGAATGAGTTTGTGGGCGGGATTAGGCTCAGTGCAGGAGAAGCCTGGCAGACAAGATAAACAGGGAACCAAGCCTCAGTTTCAGCTGTGCCTTTTGCCTCCTCATACCGAGGGGCGTCTAGAGGCCTAGAAAGGCGGGGGGCTCTGTCGGGCATTCTTGCTCAGTGAACGATAGAGCCGGCGGAATACACAGGGTTTCCAGCCTCTTACGCCCCTGTTGACCACTCAGGTTAAGCACCAGAAGCTCCCTCTTCCTTCAGATCCTGCTTCTCCAAAAGGTGCTGTAACAGTCCTTCAGTTTGGACGACTGTGACTGCAGTTGCTTCCTCTCCTAGTGGGGTGTCCTGCCAATGGCTGGGGCGGGGCTGGGGCGGGGCTCGGCCGAGTGAGGCGGAGTAGAAGTGAAGCCTTCCTGTGGGGCCGGTGTGATGGCCGAGGTGCCCGAGCCGAGGTGCCCGAGCGCCCGGCTGGGTCCGGGGTCCCGTGCCCCCGGCGCCGTCCCACCCCTGCGTGCCCTGCTTCCAGAATCGCGGAGTGCCTGCAGACGATCTCCGCCCTGGAGACCGAGTGCCAAGAGCTGCGCACGAAGCTGCAGGACCTTGAGAGGGCCAACCAGACCCTGAAGGATGAGTACGATGCCCTGCAGATCACTTTCACGGCCCTGGAGGAGAAGCTGAGGAAAACCTCGGAGGAGAACCAGGAGCTGGTCACCCGCTGGATGGCCGAGAAAGCCCAGGAAGCCAACCGCCTCAACGCCGAGAATGAAAAGGATTCAAGGTGGGAAACGGACCCACAGCGGGGAGGTTCCTTGTTTCGTGGAGTTGCCCTTGAGAACAAGGGAGCGAGCCTGGGAGCTGCAGCCACAGGGTGGGGGGGCCAGAAAGCGCTGCTGGAACTGGGAATAGCCCGGGCGGTTTAAAGGGGTTTGGCGGGGTTGGCGTTTCCAGGAGCACCCTGGCCGCCGAGCGGAGGACCACCTCTCCAAGGGCCGTGGCCCGTGCTGTTCTTGCCAGTCAATTCCTTCAGTGTTTGGAAGAGAAAAGCTAGTTTTTGAATAATATAAATTAAACCAGAATTAGAAAAAGATTGAAATCCCCCCAAGTTTTGTAAAATTATTTAGGCCCATACCAAAAATTCTGATTTTGCTAGTATGCAACCTCACATGAACATGTATATGAAATTCCTAAATCAAACTCATTGGTACATTTTTTACAAAATTTACTGCAGTTCTGCTAGAATTTAACTCAGGAATTAAGAGAGTGTTTATTGGAGAAACAATTAAATATATCTTGTTAGAGAATAAATGATGTGACCATTTTAATAGATCCCAACATGGTCATTCGCTCAGACTCAGCTCCCAATCCTGGGGGCAGGGGGAGGGGGGAGCAGGGGGGTGAAAAAACCTTTAAACTGGAAACAAAATCTTTTAATAAAAAGAGCCAATAGGATGCTTAACAGGGGCACTAGGAGTCAGTCTCTGGAGGGAAATTTGTGAAAATTGCCCCAGAGGGTCTGATACGTGCGTGGCAAAGGTCCACCGTCCCACGTGCATTCCCATCCGAACCAGGAACAGAAGAAGGAAGGGGCCCCAGTCTGAACTCAGAGGTTTTGCCCGTCCAACCGGACAGGATGCCAGGCGCAGGGCTGATGGGGCAGGCGCAGGGGGGTGGCGGTCGTGATGGTCCCCCAAGGAAACCTAAGAAAGGAAATCATTTGAGAAACTAATAATGAGAGTTCACCAGAGATTCGAACGTAGGATTTTAAATCCTACGTAAGTAGTTTAGAATTTGAAAAGATTATTGCAGTTAATCCAAAAGAATGAGTGCACGAAAATGAGTCTTAATAATAGCACTGACTCTTCCAAATAACATATTGAAATAGAACCATAAGGTAGAGGTAAAAAAAAAAAAAAGTGACTGCCTGCTGTTTACTTTGTGAAAGATTCCTAAATAAGAGTACTGGAGGACTTTCTAAACATTAAAAGGAATGGAAATAAAGAGTGGGCTGTGTAAAATTTTTAGGTTTCTTAACATCAAAGAACACAATCAACCAATCAGGACATGCTGCTCTAAAACAGATGTTTTTAGCAGTGTCAGTAAGGATTAGTGAGCGCCCAGAGGGACAGCTCATGAAAGAAGTGACCGAAGCCGGTAAACCCGGCCCAAAGGGCCGTTGGGAGGCGGGTGAAAGGGTGGTGATGGGCGGCCCGTTCACACAGCCTGGAGGACGCCAGGGTGCCGGGGAGGGAGCCTCTGGCTGGGCCGCACCCTCGGGAGGCCGTGAGACGGTTCCGGAGTATGGCGGCTGCTCATTGTTCGTAGCAGTGGAAACGTGGACGCAGTGTGTCCCCGGGAGATAAGTCAGTGGTGATGTTTTCATACAGTGAGTGTTTTTCTTTTTTAGTTTTCTATATTTTCTAACTTTCTTAAGTTTCTACCATCTTATGAAAAAATACCTAGAAGTATTTCATAATATGGTAGAGACGGTCTTCCCGTCGGGTGTTCCCTGGGAGGGAAATAGCTCGGCCTAGGCCTCGGAACGCCAGGGCGGCCGGAGGGTGGGGACGGCGGCAGAGCTGCCCTGGAGCCCCGCTCTGTGCGCTGGAGGGAGAGGTGGGCGGGCAGCTGGGCTGCGGAGGGGCCCTGCGGCCGCACCGTGCATGAACGCAGCACAGACTTTCGGGTGGAAATGGTCCTCTGGGTGTCGGGGGGTGGGGTGTGCGCGAGAACCTGGCATCGTCTGCCTGTCTGCGTGAGGCCTGGGGACTCTTCATTTCCTCAGACTGTTCCTTCTTAGAAGCTTTCCCTGCCCTGCCACCGCCTCCCCATTACTGTCCTCCTCCTCCTCCTCCTCCTAGCAGCTTCCGTTCACCTGGCTCAGAGTGGCGCGCTGCTTTGAAGTAGCTGTTCGGGTCCCGCCTGCCTCGCTAGGCTGCGGCCTGTGCCCACAGTCGGGCGCCAGGCTGCTGTGTAACCGAAGGAGTCGGAGGGCTGCCTCCTTTCAGCTCTTCTAGTGAGGGCCGGCGCCGGGGTTTCCTTCCCCTCCCCCGCCCCGGACCCTGGGGCTGCCTGGGACCCCCTAGCCGACAGGGGCCTTTCCTGTGGGGGAGCGTTGCCCACACACCCCACCCCGAGATGCTGCTTTGCCCTCAGAGACAGTCTTTAGGGGTGTGTTCCAGCTGGGAAACATTTGTTATGCTGGTTTTTTTGTCACTTGTCTCGTAAAACTTACTTTTCATCTTCCAGGTATAAAATTACGATTGAAACATACTTTTTTCAAGTTATAACCTTGTTCCTTCCCAAGATTCAGATATGTCACCTAGAGGACTTTTCCCCATTTTGAGAGCTAATCTTTCTGCCTGAAGCTTAAAAAGAATAGTAGCAGGATCGTGACTGGAGCGCAGCAGCAGCAGCAGCAGGACTAGAGGTCTGGGCTGGGGGTGAGCCCCCAGAGCGAGGCCAAGGCAGAAAAGTCGGGGACACCTGCGCTCAGGGCTGGGGAAGGAGGACAAAAACAGCGTTAACGAGAGCGGAGGTGGCTGTTGGCAGCATCGAAACCTTGCCACAGCCGAGGCCTCCGGGTCCAGACGGTGGCAAACTGAAGGCATGTGCTCTTGGATGACTCAGGACTCCCTGGCCCTCTGGGGGGACGACGCCACCCCGCCTCTGAGCGTCGCAGTGAGGGCTGAACGAGTTAAAACCACCGCGATAATACCGAGCCAGGCACAAGCTTAACACATTCTAAGTAAATCTTAACCATTACTCTTCGTGCTCTTGGTATGTTCGTGGGAGACTGTCTGCTGCAGAAAGCTCAGTCGCGGCACCCGGACCAGCCCTGGAAACGGCCGGTGTGCCTCTCTGTCCTGAGCAGCCCTCTCCCTGGCTGGTTCACGGCTCCTCTAGCACCGGTGTCCTTCCTCCGGGCTTTGCCCTGAAATCCTTTATAACACGATCCTCGCTGCTGTTACCGGTGTGGGTCTGAGACTTTGGTATCTCTGTCTGGGGCAGTGAATGCACCAAGTGTTTGGATGTTTTCTTAGAGCTCATTTATTAAGAGCCAAAGCCCCGTGCTGTCTACAGCAAACAGAAATAGTGGGCTTTGTTCGTGGTTTTTTTTTAATAGGAGGCGGCAAGCCCGGCTGCAGAAGGAGCTCGCAGAAGCAGCGAAGGAACCTCTGCCAGTCGAACAGTAAGTAGAGATACGCAAAACAAAACTATGCTCTTAACAATTTGATTCACTCTTTTTAAATAGTTTATGTTAAAATTTCCATAAAACCATTTTATAGATTGGCGAAAGAAAGGTAAAAGATTTAAGGGAGGAGATTAAAGAACACCCATGACCTCCCAGAAAGCTGTGCCTGTTTGTACTGCTCACGCGCTGTGAGCGTGAGTCCCAACCCCCTGAGCCCGGGACAGCTGACCGCCTCGCCGTTTCCTGTCGGCACTGGCCCCTGTCCTGCTCTGAGTGGGGCTGGGCAGTGCGATGCTGGGCTGGGCTCTTTCTCCCGCTCTCTTGGTTTGTGACTTTACGTGGACGTCTGGGCAAATTGTTGAAGTGCAAGCAGAGATGGGGGTCTCCTGGAACGAAAGGAACGGAATCAGCCAGAGCTTTCCCTGGCCTGGGGACGGGGGGTGCGGCTTCCTGAGACCCAGAGCTTTGCTTGCAGGTGCTGGCAGTGTTAATGACCGCGTTCCTTTTGCCTCCTGTTCAGGCTGTGTTCCTTTTCTATTGACATACATTCTGGAATTTGGTATCAGAATTATGATCTAGTTTTTAAAACATCGCTTCCATATAAGTGGAGGGGAGTGGTTTAAATTCAGTGAGTAGTGAGCTACCAGACAGAGGTCTTTACTGATAAGAAAATAAGAAGGTTCTCACGCCAAGCCTTTGTTTTAGGTGGAGTGTACATTTCTTCCACACTCAGATGCGGAAAAGGAACTTCACACGTGTGTTCCCAAAACTACAAAGTAGATAAATAACTGACCTGGAAGTGAGATTTGATTTAAAAATGCCAGCTTACAAAGCCTCATTTGTCTGCCTCCTATTTGCCAGCATAAACCAGTGGCGAGGTGTGGCGTGATTTAGGCAGGTCGGACACACAGAAAGGGGCGTGCTAGGATGCGGACCCAGGGGTGTCCACGTCCAAGGATGCCCCTTGTGCTCGTGGTCCCTGTGCTCCCCTAGGAGAGGAGTTTCTGGGGGAACGGGCATTTGCATCTGTGAAGTGTTTGGTAATCAGTTGCCAAACCTGGTGTTTGCTCATGGCCCTGGGCCTTTGCGGAGCTCTGAGTACCTTTGTGGCTGTGAACTTCTCCCTGGAAGCACTTACACAGGCCCAGCTCATGTTTGCCACTCCTGCCGTCTCTGCTGGTCTGTTGTCACCCTGTGTGAACACAAGTGACCCCCCCACACCACAGCGGAGAAGAAAAGAAAGCCCGGCCTTGTTCTCCCTCTTCAGGCCGCCTTTGTTCCCCTCTGTGCCCTGGCCCGGCTGCATTCATTTACATGGTCCTAGAAGCCATAGCCAAGGAAAATAGGTTTACCTTGACTTGGTTTAACTCGCTTGGTAACAGGTTCTTAAGTATATATTTACTTAATCCAGGCAGTCAATTGTGAAAAAAATCTTGCTTTCAAGTTCTTGTGAATCCAAAAGTTAGGTGATACAGTCTTGGGTTATTACATCTTACTGTTTATCTCTCCATGAAGATTGCAGTTCTTCGGTAGGAGGTCACTAAGACCAGAATACTTACTTACCATCCTCCCTACCAGGCAGAGGGGCAAGAAAGGGAATTCTAGGGGTGCTTTGCATCCCGTGGGACAAACAACGGCAAAGGAATGAGTTCCTAGAACTGGATGACGTCATGTGAAGTGCGGGGGGCTCCCCAGAAGTCGGGAGCACCAAGCACATTAAACAGAAAATACTCAGAGTCAAAATGAATTGTTTTTAGATCTTGCTTCCCCTGTTTTTTAGCTTCTCAGAGTAATGTGTGAAATGGTCATTAAGGCCACTGTTGATTACATTGCTCTTTTATCGACCGCTTTTCATGTTTACCAGGACCTTCTCCCTACACTCGATTTCCTGTGCTCTGTAACCGTCCCTTCCTGTCCTCTGTGCCCCTCCACCTGTCTCGTGGGAACTAGTTAGTGGTGAGTCCAGTCCAGCTGTTTGACGCCCAAGCCCTTCAGCTGCGAACCAGACTTCTGGTGGAAATAATCTACTTTGGTTCTGGTTACGTGGTTTGGTACATAATAAACCATTATTTAATTGCTTTCCAAGTGGGATTAAAGGCTCAAAAGCTCCCTTTTAAGGTTATTTCCGGTTGGAATTCTGGATTTGAATGGAACCGGTTGAATGCTCAGAGCACGAAGCCCCTTTTCCGCCAGGGAACCTTAACCATCTGCTGTCAGGGCAAAGTCACACAGCTGGTGTGCGAACAGGTGATGTTAGCGTCTGCAGGACAGGCTCGTCGCAGAGCCAAAGACCCAGCCTACGGCCCTTCTTTCCAGGGACGATGACATCGAAGTCATTGTGGATGAGACCTCTGACCACACCGAGGACGCGTCTCCCATGCGAGCCATCAGCAGAGCGGCCTCGTAAGTAGCCAGGGCTGGCCGGACAAGGAGAGCTCGGGCGCAGTCTGACAGCACGTCGTGGCCACGGCAGCGCAGTTGGAGGCCCCGAAGCCTCTTTCCCGCGCTCCTGCCCCTCCCGCACAACCCCAGGGGCCGGCGGGCTCCTCGTGTCCGCGTCTTGCGCTCTAGTAAGGGGGGGTGGGCGTCCCTTAGAGCGGCCGCCAGCTGTGAAGTGAAGCGGCCTCCTCAGAGGCGGGCAGCTCGAACCTTGTCAGGTAGGGCGATTGTTGAGGTCACACTCTAGTTCTTCTTGGGCTCCGGGGCTCCTTTTCCTTGGGAGAGCAGGACGAAAGGGGTGGGGGTTGGCTATTAACAGCCAGTTAGAGGGCTTCATTGTCAGGAGTATTGTTTCCAGCGAAGGTGACTTAATGCTAGGGCATCTTGTTTCTTTTAAAACTTGGCGAGGTTGGGTTTTCCCCCTGCCTGCCCGCTGCTGGCTGGCGGTTTCTGCTGTGATGGGTTTCTTGGCTGGGGTTTGGGAACTCAGCGGGAGATGTATCCTCAGGAACCTGTTTTTGTGGGCTGTTTTTATTGATTGATGATTTGGGAACCATGTTTCTAAGGTTTAAACCTATCCTCCCCTCCTCTTTAGTAAGCGACTCTCGCAGCCTGCTGGAGGCCTTCTGGATTCTATCACTAATATCTTTGGGTAGGTTAGAAGACCTTCACTTTCCCTTGTCGGTGTGTATGTGAATATACCTAAGCCTGTGTACATGATTTATTGTCATTTTTTGTAAGCGCACACCAGAATTTCAGTGGTGCAGACTATACAGATGCCTTAATTTCAGCTTTTCATTTAGCTTCTTCCTTTTTCCTCAATTTCCTTTCTCTTAATCTCGCTGCGTGGTGACCTCTGGCCTTACCCTTTAGTCTGTCCGAGTCGCCCCTTTTGGGACATCACTCTTCTGATGCTGCCAGGTGAAACCATTCTCCACTCTCGTTACCCCGGCATGCGGGTGCGGGTCGCTGGTAATTGTGCTGATCACCGCTTCACTACCCCCGATCACCCGTGTCCATGTGCTAACCAAGACGCTTTGCATGTTCCTAGGGATGCCGTCAGCCTCTGGGCAGGGCGACGGGTGAGCGCTTTGTCCCGCAGCCACACTCTCGCCGCTGTTTCTTGCCCTGCGTCCGACCTCGCCCTGACCGCGCTGCGCGCTGAGGATGACTGTGACTAGGCATAGAATGTCTTTAAATTGTTTTACAAAAACACCAGTGAGCTCCTCCTGAGCCAGCGGTTGCATCACGCTGAGACAGTGTCCCAGGAGCTCACTGGCGGGGAAGCAGCTATTCAGGATTGCTCCTCAGTGCTGGGTTTTGGGCCCCGTGAATTGGCAAGCAGAGTACCAGTGTGGGCCGCCTCTCTTCCTAGCTGTTGTCGAAGTGAGGATGCTTCTCATTTGGCCACTCATTCTGTAAAGGGTCTAGAAGGGAGAAGAAGCTGGTGGTTAAGAAAAGGTTTTTGAATCTCATCCTCACCTGATGGACGATCAGCCTCGTGCGGTCTTGTCTAACACTCTCCTTTATATTCCTCCCTAGGAGGCGCTCTGTCTCTTCCCTTCCAGCTCCCCAGGATAATGTGGATACTCACCCTGGTTCTAGTAAAGAAGTGAGGGTCCCGACAACTGCAGTGTGTGTCTTTGTAAGTACGCTCTCTCCCCACCCCACACCAAGCCCCGTGTGGCAACCGCACAGCCGTGGACAGGCCCTTCCTCCGGCTGTGGCTAGGCTGGCTTTCTGTCGGGCCTTCACACCTGTCGACCCCGTCTGGTGGAGGGATTAGTGCCCTTTGCTTAGCTTCAGAGGACAGAATTTATTACAGCCATCCTCTGTGACACAGGCCTGTCCGAGAGAGAGGCCTGGCGGCAGGAGGGATGGGGCAAAGGAAGGCTGATTAGGGTGGAGGGAAATAGGCAGAGCAGAGTCCAGTCAGTGGCCTGCGTTGAAGGGTAAGTAGGGCAACTGTTGGCTTTGTTATTCATACGCACGTCTGTGTGACCTCTGACCGTTAGGAGCACGTGGTTGGACACAGGAGGCAGTTCCTGGCAGGAGCCACTGTGTGATTAGGGCTGTCGGGGGGAGTCGCGAGCTGGGCCCCGATACGAAGGGGTGGACAGGCAGGCGGGAAGAGCGGCGCGCAGACAGCTGGGCTGCCCCTCAGGTTGTGTGCGGGGACCCGCGGGGCCCGCTTCCAGGGGAGGGAAGGACTCGCTGGAAAAGTGGGATGCAATTGCTATGTGGGGGAGCTTTCAGGTCCAGGCGCGAGGAGGAAGTTTAATAATTAGAGACCTGCACCCAGTGAACTGCCCTGGACAAGACAGTCCGGCCGCACGGGCCCGGGCACCTCCCAGAGGTCGATGATGATTGGTAAAAGGTCTGACTGCACCGGATGTCACAGTCCCTTCCCTGCCCTCCACTCCCAGCAGCCCATTTGCTTGTCCCACCACATTTAAGTTGTGTGCGTGGGGTCATGGAGCGGCTGATAATCAGGATTCTGTCAGTGTGTGTTTCTGAGAGTGGACAGCTCACAGCTGACAACTGTCCAACAGAACCAGCTCCCAGGAGGCTGACGAGCGGCAGCCGTGGGCGTGATGGTGCGTGATCTCAAGTTTTCAATCTGAGACCTCTTCAGGAGGAGTGTTCTTAACCGGACAGGGAGGGGACTCGCGTGGACCTAAGAGGCTTGGTCACCTGCCGTGTAGCCTTTCAGCAGTGGGACACAAAGGAGGGGTGGGAAATCAGATCGCCAAGCAAAGAAATAACAAAGTGACGTTTGCATCCAGTCAGTTGATAAAGTCATGCTCGCAATAATGTTTTAGCATCTTTTTGGGCCCCGAGCAAATGTGAAGATAAGATTTTTGTCTTCCCAAAATGACCTTTTGGGAAAGTGATTGATGACCTGTTTAATGATCTGATACTCGTAATCCATGTTTCCCATGGTCGTCTTTTTGTTATGGAAATTTCAAACAGAAGTGGTGAGTAAAAGAACTCGATTTTTATGTTTCGTAACAGGTGACATCCAGTAATACAGATGTTTCAGTCAGAGTCTGTGGTCTTAAAGAGAGAGATTATACTGAAAACTGCTAGTATTCTCGCTTCCCATTCTAGGAGGGGATGCTTTCTACTTGGTTTCCCTTATCCTGGCCGATGCCCCTTGTCATAGCGTGCGTTCCCTTGTGGATGCCAGACTCAGTGATTTCCCTCTGATGAGTTTAAACTCTCCCCAAATAACATCTGTTCACTTCTGTTGAAGGTCTTGTGGTCAGGCACAGGCTTAGGTCACGAGACCTGTGGAAGTCCTTTTGTGTAGAAGTTAGGAGATTTGGCAGAGGTCACGCCGCTAGTACCCATGAGGGTCTCCATGGATCCCACTCGAACGCTGCTGTGTGGCCCTCGTACCAGCAGCCACCCAGATCAGAACCCCACACTAGAATGTCCTCAGGGTAACAAAGCCATGGCATCCTTCTCTGTCGCGAGAGCCATGCTATATGGTGCGTGGTGAGGTAGGTGTCACGCAGTCTGGACCGGAAGAGGCAGGTGATCCCAGTCTTACTTTAAAGCTATTAAGATCCTAAAAGAATATAGATTGAAATTAATTATTCTTAGAGGAAAGAAAATTAATGAGAAAACTTTAAGCAGTTAGTTCACATAGATTTTGAATCCTTTTCAGGAAGGTTGCACTGTATTTAAATAAATGGAACTGCTAAGTATCAGAATAAAGCCATGATAGAATCTCAGGAAAGCCTGGGCCAGGAACCCAAGTTAGTCTACGCCGGGATCCCCTCCCTTCAGGGATGAGTGTTCGGCCTTGGGTGGGACGTCCGAGGGCTGGCCCCTCCTCCTGGGGAATGACAGCGCCTGGGACTGAGGGGGTGCTTGTCTTGCAGGACGCGCATGACGGGGAAGTGAACGCGGTGCAGTTCAGTCCCGGCTCCCGGCTCCTGGCCACGGGGGGCATGGATCGGAGGGTCAAGCTCTGGGAGGCGTGCGGAGGTGAGGTCCCCTGGGAGGCACAGAAGGCAGCTGTGCTGGTGGCGTCCGGTGGGCTTCGGGAGCCTGACCAGAGCGTCATTACCGTTTCAGTTACTCTGGGTAGCCGCGGCGGGCTGCTCGGGGTTTCCAAGTAGTGGCGGAAGATGCTGTGAACGTACGGGGCGGGGCGGGGGGGTGTTCAGGATATATACAGTGAGAGCATCACCCGAGGTAGTACAGATTTTAGAAGGAAAATTAAAAATCAAACAGTCATGCCCTCGAGTTTACACGTGAAACTGCACTCAGTGCCGCCAGTGGGCACAGCCTGAAAAAAACGCACTGAACAAGCAGCTCCTCAGACAAGGAGCCTGCAGTCCGGCCTTGGTCTCTGATTAGATGCTGTTTCAGAAATGACCTCGGAGCACGCGGGGATGGGGTGGCACCGAACCACCTCGTAGAGTTCTGCAGCTGGGGCATAGCCCAGTTTCGACATCATGAGATTTGGTTAAATATACATGTACATTTTAATAAAGCAAGGTCAAAGAATAGGCTGAAAAGGTTTTCATAGGAACCGCTGTGTCAGGTTCCCATAGTTGCCGCACAGACATGCCCACCGTCCGAGCGCTCGCAGTCCCCGTGGGCCTCTGTCTGTCGTTGCCTGAGTCTCGCTGTACCCCCGTGCAGTTAGAAAGGCGGGTAACGCCTGTATGGGAAGCCCCAGGGGACACTACCAGGCTTACATAGTTGAGTCACATGGCTAGTAGGCGATTTCTGTGGCAAAGGGGAGGTGGGACCTGGGGGCTGAGCTGGGTCTTCTGGCTGCACATCCCGTGTGTTTGCCACGACAGCTTCCCCTAAGTGACGGAGCTGCTGGAGACGCTGTAGGTCACTGGTCTGTGGTTGGAGCGAGAGCTGTCTGTCGATCCCATGGGTCAGAGCGGACAGCCAGTGAAGCCCCAAACGCGCCTGGCGCTTGATTTTCAGGAGAGTGACTCAGTGGTTGAATCCCTGGCAGTTACAGCCAGTGGGGGCCTGTTAGAGTTTGTGCTCTTTTACCCCAAAACACCTTATGAATGATAACTGCTGAAACTGCTATAAAGTAATAGTAAAACTATAAGAATAGAAATTTCATGAGGTTTGGTTTTTAAAAATCTAAGCAGGTGGTCTATTTTGATTATGCCTTGTGACTAAATAGAAATAACACTAGAAATACTTTTGTTTTACTTCTTGGTCAGTCAAAGTGCCCATAGGAAAATGAGAAGAAACCAGCATTTGCTGTTTTTGTTGTAAAAGAGGAAGTAAACAGTCATTGAAATTAATGTTGACATAATAGGTACCAGGGCATAATTTGTGTTACTAGAGTAAAAGTTTCTCCTAGATCTACAGGAATAACATAAGACACTCGGCAGCAAGTTTTATGGTTTTCACAACAAATAACCGGTCGTGTCCTAACTAATTGTACGGCCTTTATTCCCACCAACAGCCTGTTCAGGCCGCAGTTCTGTCCCTCGGGATAATGGCCCTTCCCACCCAGGGCAGTCCCGTCCTTGTTCGTCTGTCAGAGGCAGAAGCTCCAGTGGGGGTCCTAGGCCCTCCGCCGGTGCCCTCTAGATAAACGGGCTTTAACAAGGTGCTTGCTCTTCTGAGGTGACTCTCTTGTGTGGAGCAGCATTTAGTGATCATTGCTTACATTTTGGCTGCCAAACAAATAGACCAATATTTTGAGCATAAGCCAGGGAGATATTTCTTAGAATTTGCAGTAATAATTTTGTCTGTAAAGGTATAATCTAAGTAAAGACCTTAATTAGTGGATGTTAGCTTTTTTTGACTCTTGAAAAGCTAATGAAAGCTAGGGTCCAGGAAGAGCCATTTAAATGTGTTATATTTTGCAAATAAATTTAGAGGTTGGGTTCGTCGACCAGAGTAATAATCTCAGCCCTAAATGTATTTGACAGCTCCATACCTATATTCATATTATTATTTAGAAGGACCGAGTAAGAGATAAGGCTGTTCATGGAAATGTTTCCTATTCCGTGCTCCCCTTTTATGAATTTGGTTAGAAGGGTTCCCTGATTGTTTTCCTGGCTTGTCTATATAAGGTCGTTCTATGCTGCCCCTTTAAAAAAGGAGCATAATCTCATCCTCATCGAGACTGGGGCGCCTCTGGCTTGTGTTTACATCCCTGACATCGCCGTGTGTCGGGCCAGCGCTGCCTGAGGGCAGCACCCAGGAGCGCGTGGCTGGGTCTGTTGGTGAAGGAGTCTGGGTGGCCAGAGCCTGGGGGTCACGGGCACGGAGTGAGTGCAAGGACAAATCAGAGAAGTTCCGAGCTGGCGCAATCGGCATTCTGACGATGAGCCAGTCACACGTCACTAAGACGGAAACTCTTTTCAGGCCCTAGATGGGAATCATCACACGTGGATTTTGAAAATTTGATGGTCTGTTTTCACAAAAGTGATAGTTAAGTTGGCACAAACACTGGTCAAACCCAGAGATGTATTTATGTAAATTAGAGAATTTTACTGAGATAGAACTGAATGAAACTCTAAATCTCTTGCTACATTGACACTAAATTTTCTTTGAAGGAACCAGCAGCAGCGTGTGCGGGCCTCACACAGTCTGTCCCGCTGGGCAACTCTTGTGATGGCACAGGAGCACTGCTGATCTGAAGACAGAGTTGGCTCCCGTGGCGTTTCCGGTGCCCCATTTCACCTTACGTCTTGGCCTGACCTTCCTGTCCTTCCGTCTTTCTTTTTATCCAGACAAATGCGAGTTCAAGGGTTCCCTGTCCGGCAGTAACGCAGGAATTACAAGCATTGAATTTGATAGCGCTGTAAGTATCAACTACCCAGGGAAATAGGTGAGTTTTGAGGCGTTTAGGAACAATTGAAGGCACCTGGGTCTTGAAATTGAAAAATAACTTACCTGGTTTGTCTGCTGTTCATCTTGAGTGAAGTCAGGGTTGGAGGAGGATGCAGGCAGATTACAAACTCTGGGCCGACCCAGTCGGAGACTGGGCCGGGGGGCAGGCCGGCAGGCCCCCGGCCAGCCAGCGCCTCTGCAGACGGGATGCAGGCCCAGGCTCCGAGCCCGGGGGGCGGGGGGGGAGTGCCCAGCGAGGCCTGCGCCGGAGAGGAGCAGGTCTCCGGCGGGGGGGGGGGGGCGAGGCGAGGGAAGTCAGTTCCTCTGGGCGACGCTCCGACGTGCACAGTGTAGGGAATTGGTATCTGCTGTTGGGAAGTGAACACAGGATGCGGGGTTCCATTCTGAGCTGGAGGGTCTGCAACTTTCAGGTGACAGCGAGCGAGTTTAGGAGGAATGTCTGAGTGTCACGCGGGCGAGTTGACAGACCGCTGGCGATGACGGTTGTTGTTTGGACCAGGTGTGTAGATATAGACACCTGGACCTTCTTGGACTTGATTACTGGGGTGTTTGTGCTGTGTGAACTGAATTCCTCTTTTGGCTGAAATTTGTTTCCCCCCTTTATTCCAACAGGGATCCTACCTCTTAGCAGCTTCAAATGACTTTGCAAGCCGGATCTGGACGGTGGACGATTATCGGTTACGGGTAAGGCCCGCTTAGGAAAATTGGCGTGATCTCCAGACTTCACGTGGTTATCGAGGCACAGGGTATAGGGAGTGGCAGGGCCGTTTATGTAGGAGGACTGTGTGTGTGCTCCTGAAAATCATGCTTGGTTCCCCTGCCCTTTTCTTTCCTCCTTGGGAAAATTTGTTGCCACTTTATACTCTCACTTTGTCCCAGATTCGGTTTCAAAACATCTACAGTAGGAAACTCTCATATTTCTCTTAAAGATTTGGAACACTCCTGTTCATAAGAACGAGGTACTTTCTTAGGTACCAGTCTCAGCTTAGCCTCCGCTATCTCAGTGCCAGCATATTCTGAGTTAGCTAAAAAGGCCGATTGGTTTTTTTCCATACGATGGTTCTAGTAGAGCTTAGTTGTCTTTAACTTTATTTGAAACAATTTTGTTAGATTGCATTGTGACAGCTATCACATCAGCGTGCATTTTTAAAAAAACCCATCAAAATCAGTGAATTTTTGTGCAGCCATTTCAGTGTTACAGATGGCAGGAAATATGCGGCATTTTCAGCATATTATACTTTCTTATTTCAAGAGAGAAAAAAACGCAACTGAAATGCAAAGAGAAGAAAGATTTGTGCAGTGAATGGAGAAGGTGTTGTGACTGATCGTGTCAAAAGTGGTTTGTGAAGTTTCTTGGTGCTATGGACATTTTGGCCAAATAATTCTCTGCAGTGGGGCTATCTGCATTGGAAGATGTTTAGCAGCGCCCTCACCTCTCCCCGCTAGAAGCCGCTAGCAGGAGACGGCTGACATACTCAATATCCAAATCCATAACGTTATTGGTGAAAATGAAAAATGTCTTTTATGGGGGGAAAATGGACTTTTTGGCCAACCCAATACTTGGGTTTCTTACAGGCTCCAAGATCGAGTCACAACCACAGAGGGTGGCCGGAAGGGCGGCCACAGACACGCACAGGGGCACGCTTGCGGGGGACGGGCAGCCGCTCTGAGACAGCTGACGCAAGGGGTTGTGCGGGAGCCGAGGGGCCAGCGGCGGGCCCAGCGTGGAGGAAACCCCAGCTTGCCAAGGGGTGTATCGGATGCCGCCACAGACCAAAACTCGGGGGTCATATCCCCTGTGTTCTAATGACAGAGCTTGACATGGAGACTGGCTTTTCTCCTTAAGCTTGAAGGAGTCTTTGCGTGAGCTCATTCAGTAAAGGCTGCTGGACGATAAGATGGAGGATGAACTTGGCACTGGTAGGCATTTTACCAAAAATCTTTGGCAGCAGCTCTGTGTGTCAAGAGGGACAATTCCTGACTCCTAGTTGAAAGGAGATCCAGGGCTATACATTCAGAGTCTGGGACAGGAAGACGACAGAGACTGTGTCCTCTTGTGGCAGCTGAAGGGCCCACCCGTGCGCCCCCCACCCCCCCGTCTGCGGGAAGGGGCCAAGTCGGCTGCCGGGGGCCACAGGCAGGGCTGGGCCCTCCTCGGGCCGCGGGCTGCGCCTCTTCCAGTGCTGGAGCGCGTTTTCAGTGGGAGCGCGATGGTGGAAGTGGGAAGAGGTGGCCTGGCCGGTTCCGCAGGCAGCTGAGGGGCTAGTGGGCTGTGCGGGACGGCGGCTCCTAATCGGCAGAGCCCCATACAGGAGGCCGTCTGCCTTTGGGCCTGACGTGACAGGAGGGGGACCCGGGGGCTGGGCAGTTCAGAAGGCAGGGGTCACGCTCTTGGGAGGCGCTTTGCAGGCGAGCAGACCTGCACAGGTGGGCCGGGTTTCGGGGCAGAGGGTTATGTCAGGACACTGGGGCGCCGGCGAGCGGGGGGCTGGCGTCGGGGCCCTTGTCCTCTGTGCTGGACTGCCGGCCTTGTGGGTCCCTGGGCTGCTCGCAGCCGTGTCCTGTCGGTATATGTGGGATGGGACCAGGAGGCCCTTGGCACACATCACACACAGAAGGGAGTGGGCCCCCTGCTGTGGGGACCGTGGCTTTCACTTAGACCCTAGTCGACAGAGGGTGTTAGAAGACACGAGTGGGTATCATGTTCTGGAACTCAGGTTGCAAGCCCTGGTCAGCGTCCCCTTCACTTTCGTGGGGAGGGAACGGCGCTGGAGAGGCCAGGTGCAAAGAGCCGCTGGATAAGCGCTTGCTTTGACTCCCTTCCAGTAAGAGGACCCTGGAACTGGCCTGGCATCGAAAGGCGCCCGGGACAGGGCTTCCTCGGTTCCAGCTTTGGCAGACCCCTTACCGGCCTAAAGCCAGTGCCCTCTGGGGTGTGATTTGAGGAACTGGGCTCCAGAACCCTCCTCCCCCAACAGTGACGTGGAAAAGTGGCCACAGGGAGGACTGGCTTTCAGACAATGGCAGCTATTTCAGAAACTCTCTCAGGTTCCGCGTCCTTGGGGCCAGCCATCGTCGGCGGGTGGCCATGGTGGCTGCCGGAGTGGTGGGCGGGCAGCCTCGCAGGCGGACGCAGGAGCCGGTGCGGAGCCTGCATCCCCGTGCGGGGCTCGGCTGCGGGACCCTGCCCGTGAGTCCTTGCTGAAGAGGTGGGCGTGAAACCTAAAAGTGGTGTTGAAATTAAATATGAAAAATAGATATCAAAACCACTGAGTGGATAAAAGAATTTTTAATGTGATCCACTTAAAATAAGGGCTTTTTAATGATAGAAGTGAACGCTTGTAGGAAGCTCGATTTCCCCACCGTCAAGATTGTGGACGGAGCCGGTCGACCTCAGGCAGGCCCAGCTGGGCCCCCACCAAGAACAAGACGGGCAGCGGTCCAGGCCCTTTAGAAAGCAAGCCAGCAACTCAAAGGAAGGGCTAGGGAGTAAAAGCGTTCCCTTTGCATGCCTGTCGGTGTTCACTGCAGCATCATTTGTCACTGTGAAACTCAAAGTGACTGAAGTGTTGGCCGGCCGGGGAGGTTTCAGTTACACTGTCCTCTCAGCGCGTGGGAGAAGGGAGTTACTGCCGTCCCCCGGGTGCCTCGCTTCACCCTCCTAGGCCAGCGAGGGGAAGAGGCTTGTCTGCTCAGATTAAATTGGTGACCAGGCTGCTCAGGGCCGAGTCCGCGTGACCCCCAGGCCGTGCAGATTCGGCTCTCACATGCTCATACCACGGCATTAAAAAAGCAGTAGGTACGTTTTTAGGAATATTTTCAAATGAAATATACGAAATTATTAATGTGTACACATAAGAGTGTGTGAAAGTGAGTGCGATCACATAGCCCACTCTGAGCGAGGTCTTTTCCTCCCTGTTTATGAAATGTGATTTTACTTCTGTGGTAAAGGAAGAAAGAGTGCATGCACACCGAACGTTAAATTTTTTTTTTTAGCCTCGTCCGAGGGCATGCTTATTGATTTTAGAGAGAGGGAGAAACATCGATGTGACAGAAACATAGATTAGTTGCTGTTTGTACACGGCCCAGCTGGGCACCACCGACCCCGCAACCTTTGCTTTGTGCGATGACGCCCAGCCTACTGAGCCACACTGGCCAGGGCAGAGCTTTCATTTTTTGATGAAATAGTTCTTTCCTAAGAGCATGATTAACAGCGCATGAGGAGTTCCTACCCAGACTTTCCGTCCCCGCATGGCGTGCGCGGACTGGCTGCGCGGTGCTGAGCGGACCCGTCCCGTGCTGCAGTGCCTGCGAGCCTGCTTGCCCCGCCAGCAGGTCAGTGGGCGCTGTCCCGCTGCGGGAGCCCGGCCGCCCCCTGCTGGCACAGCTGTGAGTCAGTCCCAGGCTCTGAGAGCGTTCGCTGTGGGCGGAGCACAGGCGCTCCGTGCAGACGTCCCCTTAGAAAGGGAGAAGTTCCTGGGGCCGAGTTTTCCGTCCCTGCACCCCAGAGCCGCTCCGCTCGGCCCGCAGGAGAGCCGGCGCTCCAGCCTCTCAGCACGGAAACCTTACCGTGGAGCTCTCAGATCTGGTCTTACTAGGGAGCTGGGTTAGAACCCGTCATGGCCAGTGGAGGAAGTACTTTAGGGTCTTCTAAAAGGCTCTTTTTTTTTTTAGTTAGAGAACATCAGAGAATTCCTTCTGAGCCTCTGAGGTTCTGCAGGTACAAAAGAGGTCAATGATGAGTAGTAAAAGGGCTGACCTGCCAGGCCCCTCCTGCCGCCTCGGAGTCCCCAGCCGCCTCGCTCCCATCGGGCTCCAGTCGTGCTCAGACGGGCTCAGAGGCAGCTGACACTCGGTGATGCCCCAGGCCTGTGTTCCTTGGCGAGCCCAGGGAGGACGTGTGGTTGGCATCCCACAGCCCACCTGCGAAGGGATGTGAGTGCGGGGAGTGTGGGCTCTGGCTCTGATCTGGCTTCCAAGCTGAGACCTCTGCTTGCAGACCCCCAGGGCTTTCGGTGGTTTGTTTAGGAGGCCTGACGTGCCTGCTGTGAGCCTGTCTGTTCCGACTTGAAATAGGGAACTGACTTTCAGAGGCACTGGCTAAAACCCAGGTTTGTAAAAATTTTGTAATTAGAAATAATCCAGACTTACAAAAAAAGATACAAAGCAATATAGGGAAGTCTCTGTAATGGGGCCTGTCTCAGAAAGGTCCTCCGGCTGCCTCCATTTTGAGAATGGGGACACATGAACTTTGTACGAGTGATGCTGGGTTTTTGTTTTCTTTGGAGGTTTTTTTACTGTTATTTGTGATGGGAGATTTATCCTCTTCCTCTTTGTATACGTCGCCTCTGGGCAGCAGCCATGGGCAGGCAGGCTCCCTGGGCGCGTCCGCGGCGGCGCCCCGGTGTGTGGGAAAGTGGGCGCTGGGCCGTGTGCCATCCCAGGCTCAGCCCCATGTCTTCTCTCCCCCAGCACACTCTCACGGGACACAGCGGCAAAGTGCTCTCTGCCAAGTTCCTGCTGGACAATGCGCGTATTGTTTCCGGAAGTCATGACCGGACCCTCAAACTCTGGGATCTGCGCAGCAAAGTCTGTGAGGAAATTCGGTCTCTCTGTCTGTGTGTGCGATTAGACAGCTGCAGAGGGTCTGTTTCCGTGTCAGAGCATCTGCTTAGTGTGAAGCAGTTTGAAAGCAGGTCCACTTGCGCATCCAGAGTGGCGCTGAGGTGGTGGCAGTTTTCCCTTTCGGAGGCCTCACTTAAATGAGTAGTTGCGATGGCTCGGGGTCGGAGGGCAGCCGCGGAGGGGCCTCTGCTTGCTAACTAATGTTCGCTTTTCTTTCAGGCATAAAGACAGTGTTTGCAGGGTCCAGCTGCAACGATATCGTCTGCACCGAGCAGTGTGTAATGAGCGGACATTTCGACAAGAAGATTCGTTTCTGGGACATCCGGTATAATGCCCTAACGCTGGCTGGGGAGGCAGGTGGGAGGGTCCGGACGTGGTAGAACTGTGATGATTTGTGTGTGGGCCGTGTTTTTAAAGTCCCTGGAAATGGAGAAATAAGCTCCAGCCCACATTTATTTTAATAGTTAGATATTCTTTACCATGAAGTAGGCAGTTGAGGCCAACAACCACAGAGGCGCACTGTGTACTTACCAGGTGCTCTAACTCCACAGGTGCCAGGTAAACAAAGATGAGCAGCTAGGTGGGTGGGACACATAGGTGCGCCCGTGTGCTGAAGCGGACCTGTGTCCGGGCGGCCGAGGGCGCCCCGGGAGGCATCCGGGAGGCGCGCAGCCGCGCGTCACAGGAGAGCCCCTGAGAGCCATTCCGGACCAGGGCAGCAGGGCCCAGGGCAGCAGGGCGGAAACGCGGCAGGCCGGGCGTGGGCAGGAGGGCGTGTCGGGCAGCGGGGCGGCCAGGAGAGTTCATGCGGATCTGAACTTCAAGCAGTGGGGGGAGGTGGGGCGGGTCCACGTGAGGGACACTTTGAACAGGACTTGGTGACAGGTTGGATGTGAGGGTGAGAAGAGAATTAAAGCAAGAAAGGACAGTGACAGAAGGGGGTGCAGAGAGAATGTGTTCGTGTGTTTGTGGCTTCTTGCAGACACTTGGGAAAATGAGGGCAGGATTTCTGAGAGGTTGGGGGTCCGCAGGGGGCGGGCACTGTGAAGGTGTGAGAAGGGTTGGTCAGACGGCACATCACACAGTGAGAGGACAGTATTTCAGGCGCTGCCTGACGCGGGGGACCCGCGAGGGCCAGAGGGCCCCGCTGATGGGCCCGGGCTCAGGGAGCCGCGGGGTCAGGCGGCAGGCGTCCAGTGGGACGGAGCTGGCTTGTCAGGACGTGGCTGGGGATCCGGCTGAGTGGGGGCTGCTGGGACAGAAGCCCAGTGGCCGAGCAGCCGTGCACACGGTGGGGAGCGGGGAGCGTGGTGGCAGGGAGGCCTCGAAGGGCCTGCCAGGAGGCTTGTGGCTTATTTGGGACCTTCGGTTAGCTTTTTAAGGCAGAGCCTTGGAATTTGAGTTAAACGAGGTGGTCAGAGTCTCCGGGTCTACCACCTGTTTGACAGGTGAGGTCCCAGGTCCCGAGGAAGTGTGGGCTTACCCCCGGCTGCATACTCAACCTTACAAAGTTACTAAGGTAAACGCTCTTTCTTGGTTAGGGTTTGTGGCAGAAAATCATTTCCTTGGAAGCTTATAACAAAATGCGCACGGAAGGGTCCGACCTCCTGTGGCAGTCTCGGTCACCGGGCCCTGCCCAGGATTGCTCTTCCCGGACCTGGTCGTGGCCTGGGACCCAGGGGAGGATTGGGAGAATAAAGTGCAGAAGAGGGACTTGTGACGTGAAGTGGCTCCGCCCAGAAGTCCCAGGTTCAGGTCTAGCATCACCGAGGACTTGGGGGGCCTTGAGCTGGACTTGGTGGGTCAGGAAGCCGTGAGAAGCCCAGCTTTCTCCACATTTGGATAGAGCCCTGGTGAGCGCGTGCTGATCAGAAGCTCTGACTGGCAATTACTGTGGCATCAGAAACGAGTGCTTGTCTGACTTAAAGCTCTAGGACTCAAAGTGGTGACCATAGACCCTGTGGACAGAAGGCCAATAAAGCAGGCGCCATGGTTGCGTCTGTAAGGTCAGGGACGTTTTCACGGCCCTGGGAGAGTTTCGCCTCCTGGTTGGCGGGCCCTTTCCCCTCCTGTCCGTGGCACGGCATCCTGGTCACAACAGGGGGGTTCTGACATTTCTGCGGTGCGTTTCTCAGAGTCCCCGTTTCTCTGGTAGATCGGAGACTGTGGTCCGAGAGCTGGAGCTGCTGGGGAGGATCACCGCCCTGGACTTAAACCCGGAGAGAACGGAGCTCCTGAGCTGCTCCCGCGATGACCTGCTAAAAATCATTGACCTCCGCGTGAACGCGATCAGACAGACGTTCAGGTAACGGAGGACGCACCGGCCCAGGCGTGTCAGGGCCACCGGCTTTCCGAGGGGCGCGCGAGGACCGGGGCCGGGCGGGCCGGCCGGCAGCCCCCGGGCGCTGCGGGCTGCGGGGTGACGGCGCTCTCTGTCTGTTGCAGCGCGCCGGGGTTCAAGTGCGGCTCCGACTGGACGAGGGCCGTGTTCAGGTGAGTGGGCCGCCCCCCACCGCCTGTCCCGCCCCCCTCGGCCGCCGCAAAAGCTAGAGCATGGGCGTTTCCCGTCGGGGAGGCGAGGCAGAACTGGGCAGTGTCTGAGCCTGCGTGTCCCAGAGCGACCCTGGAAGTGCAGCACAAGAGGTCACTGCCACAGTCACTCTCTGCCCTTCCCAGTGTTCCTTCCTGATTGTGCCAAAGTGGAATGGCTGGCTAGGTGGTTAGTCGTGCGCCCAGCAGGTTCGCGTCTGTGCGCTTACAGCAGGGCACCTGGAGCTCTCAGGGAAGGGCGCGGCTCTCGCGGAGGGGTGGCTTCCCTTCCTGGCTCTGCTTCCGTGCATAAGGCTTGTCCCCTGTACACCGCCACGGTCAGGCCCAGCCCCGTGGAGAAGCCCCAGCCGCTCGGGGGCTGCCTTGGTCTCCCCGTGTGCTGCATGTGAGTCGGAGAGAGTCCGGGGCTGGGGGCCGCAGAAGTAACATGGCGGCTTCATTCGTGGGGTGGGGCCAAGGTAACAGGCATGAGCGGCACGGTCTGACAAGCGGGGTGCACACGACCGGTCCTGCCTTTGACTCATCAACGAAGAGTAAGCGCTGCTGCTTGCGTGGAGGTCCACGAGGATGCCGCGTCGGGGTGGGAGGGTGATGCCGCATCTCGTCTTCTATGTTCTCCAGCCCTGATGGCGGTTACGTGACGGCCGGCTCAGCCGAGGGCTCTCTCTACGTCTGGGGTGTGCTCTCCGGGAAAGTGGAGAAGGTGCTCTCCAAGCATCATGGGTAAGATGAGCCCTGGGAGCCCCTCGGGGGTTGTGGGCGGGCCCTGTGACCCCTTCCCCGGGGTCACACTCCCGGTGTGGACTGAGCCGGCAGCACAAGGGGGGCGCGCACTCGGGGCGGGCGGGGGGCCGGGCGGGGCACAGCCCTGCAGGCGGCGGTGTGCTGCTGGTGTGTTTATCTTACAGCTGCTGTTGGAGAAGGAGTGAGAGAAACCAGACATTCTCTTCTCTTCCCTGAGGCTCCTTTTTTTCTTAGTTTTGTTCCGTCCACCTAAGCCCACCTGCCAGTCAGCGCTGACCCAGGTTTCCTCCGTAACCACCTCTCTGTGCCCAGGAGCCGCGGTGGAACTTGTACTCCCCGGCCGCCGTCCCCTTGGTGCACTCGGGGCTCTTCCCTTGGGGGGGCCTGGGTGAGGCCGGCCCCTGCCGATACAGGCTGCTTCCCGGCGTGCAGTGCAGGGCTCCTCTGCGTCCTCCGCTCTCTACTGAGCGCCCGCCCTGCGCGGGAGCTGTCTGGCCAGTGAGGCAGCCGTGGACGAGTCCTGGCTCCGAGTGCGAGGGTGCCTGGGGTTGAGGTCACTCAGACCTCACCAGTGTCCCCATCTCTCCCCTTGAAGCTCGTCAATCAATGCGGTGGCCTGGTCCCCCTCCGGCTCCCACGTCGTCAGTGTGGACAAGGGAAGCAAAGCCGTGCTGTGGTCAGACTACTGACGGTTCCTCCGCGGGAGAGCAGACCGAAGCCAGAGGAGCGCCGGGCCGCGGCTCTGTCCTGGCAGGCAATGTGTTGGGCGTAGCTTTGACCTCCGTACAAGAGCAGGAGCCAGGTGGCACTGAGGCCTTCTTTGGAAGGGGACTTGTGAGGGTTGGGGCTGAGGTCCCTAGCAGCCTGGAGGAACAACTCTGCAAAGACCCGGCCACTGCGTCCCTGGGCAGAGGCTCAGGTCACGGCCTCCGTTCCGTGGGAAACACTACTCGCTCTGCTCTTCATACCTCAGCGGGTGCAGGCGGCACGGGCCTCCCTGCATGGCGGTGCCAACGGCGGTGCCAACGGCAGCCCGCGCGGCGGGGCGCCTCCCTCTGCTTTCCCCCTCCAAAGTCAGTCCTGGCCAAATGCGTGTCTTGTCTTCTTGAGGCCACTTTCCCAGCGAACTTGCTTTAATCATTGGATTAACAGGAACCCAAACAGGATTACCCCATCCTCAGGGAGCCCCCGGGGACCGCCCAGTCTCCAGGGAGACATGGGACTGCAGCGCTCCTGCTTGTCCCTACCATTAGAGCAAAGCTCCCGCGCTGACCTCCCAGATCACGGCTGCAGGTTTCTGAGGCCTCCCAAACTGTCCTCGGTGAGCAGCCATCCGCCGGGGCCCCTGGCCTACGGCCGTTCCTCGGCCGAGACAGAAACCTCAATTTGGCTAAGAAGCTGGTTTTGTTTTTTCGTTTTGTGTTTTGTTTTTTTAAGAGGAAGTGCAGAAACTCTCTTTCCAGAGAGGTGGGGGTGCTGCAGGAGTGGGTGTCTCACTGGATCCACCCGTCCCTTCCCAGAAAGCGGGTGCATGCCGCAGTCTCAGGTGACAGCTGCGGCGGACACAGGGGCGAGACCCGAACATAGCGGTGGGGCCAGCAGCCGGGGTCAGGGCCCCTGTGCTGAGTGTGCGTGCAGCGAGTGCTCGGTGCCCCTCCCCTGAGGCGGGGAGACGGTGTCACCTTTCTGTTGCAGGAGCTGTGACTGAGGCCCCACACAACGGGCCTGTGGCTTTCTTTTTCCTGAAGCATTTTTCTTTCCCATTTTGCCTGTGTATAAAATTTTGGTTCCTCCAGTGAGAAACACAAATATTTTTATCACTTTCTAATTGCACTTTATTTGTTTCCTCCCACTCTTGCCCTCTGGACGCGGTGGGTGCGAGGGCCGAGGCTGGCGAGGCGTGGGGGGCACCTCCCCTCCCACAGGGTGGGGCTCCCCTCCCTCGCCTCCCCTTTTCTGTCGGCCGTTCAGGGAGCTCAGTGGAGGGGAGTTAAAATTCACAGGCCAGGGCATGTCTTTTATTTATTTAATTGTGTTGCCCAGCAGAACTTGATTGTAAATAAACCAGAAATCTGTTATATACTTTTCAAACTCCACGTCTCACGGTGCTTCTTTTACTCTCCTTTATCTTTTAGCGCGGACAGCTCTCTTTGATCTATTTTCCTGGTATTTACTCATTTGCAGATAATGGTGATACTGTCCTGGTGTGTGTTCTCCTTGTCAGAGTGTCACTGCCCGTAACTGCCAACAGTTCCCCGTCATTTACCAACCTGACTGAGGCGGGGGAGGGGTGTCTGCCGCGTGTTCCTTGAGAGCCCCGCGCCCTGCAACCCCGTCCTGGGAGCCGCCGGCGCAGGCTCCGGTGCAGCCTCCAGGGCCTGCACTGGGCGGTGCCCACAGGGTCAACCGTGAACTCAGCCTGCCTCCTTGGGGGTCCCCAGGCCTCCTCTTTGCCGAAGGGGCATCAGTTACCTCCCTGAGAGGCGACGTATTCATGGCAGCCCAGATACCTAGCAGACAGCCTTATGCCATTAACAAATGAGAGTCCCCCTGGAATCTCCCGAAAGGCAGTTCCGTGGCTGTGCTGTGCCTATGGAGGCGCTGGCCGGCGTCTGCTCTGCCCAGCAGCTTGAGCCCACGTTCCGCGGGGATCGGAAGTCTCAGGCAGCCCTCTCCGGAAAGCTCAGGGCCCTTTGCAAGTCCCCTTCGAGGAAGGCAGTCGCTCGAACAAGAGGCCCAGAGTCAGTGTTTCATTAGTTCCTTCAGCTGCCCTGCTTGCTTTGGGCTTGGAGGGAGCGTTCCTGTCCCCCCTGCTTTGACCAGAGATGTTTCTATCTGAGGTCCATCCACTGGAACGCTTTGCGGGTCACCTGACTGCCAAGGGTGAGCTGATGGGAACTTGCTGCAGGGGGTATGGCTTCATCCAATGTGTGGCCTTCCACGTCCGCCGGGAGGTCATCTGGGGCCCCTTCCCGGTGCTGCTGGTTCCGCTGAGGCGTGGCGGGTGGACAAAGGAGTTTATTTTTTCGTTTTCCAGATGATTTGTGGGTGGTTACAGCTAGCATGCTCCCTTGTGTCAGCTTTTTTTTCCTTAAAGATTTTGTTTATTTTTAATAAATAACAGTGGGGGGAAGGGAAGGAGAAAGGGGGAAACATCAATGCGTGGTTGCCTCTCATGCGCCCCCTACTGGGGACCTGGCCAGCAACCCAGTCATGTGCCCTGACTGGGAATCGAACCGTCTAACCTTTGGTTCACAGGCCGGCACTCAGTCCACTGAGCCACACCAGCCAGGGCTGCATCCGCTTTGGTTCAGATACTAACATACCTCAGGAAGACACCCATGGAACGGGAGGTGGTGATTCACCAAATTAGAATTACTCTCACCAGCCACAGTGTCGGGTCTTTGGAGAAGGTGGGTGTTGGCTTGATCAGAGGCTCAAAGGAAAAGAATCCCAGAGTGAAAGGACCAGCTACCAAGACTCCAAGAATCACTCCAGGAAAATCTCCCTGTGGGGAGGGTTGTATGACTTGGAGTTGGTTTCAGATGAGGATCCACAAGCAACTGAATTGACTCTCACAGCCCTACCGAGTGTTAAGCAGACTCCTTCCATCAGCCTTGAGCCAGGGGTCGAGGTTGAAGTCACTGTGGGAGGTGCCTTAATCAACCTTTTTAATAAAGTGACTATTTAAAAACATCTCAGAAGTTGAGAATTTAAAAACACCGTTTTAATGAACTTGTATTTCCTAGGTCAGTTCCCAAAATAGTTAATAAATAAATTTGCTGCCTTAAAGCACAGGCTGCATGCACTAGCCTTTATCCTTCGAGTCTCGTAAAGCTCCTCCGATTTCCCACATCGTGATGCACAGGAAGTTTTGTGTGGGCACGGGGGAAAGGCGGAGGGTCAGCCTGAGCCCCCAGGCAGGCTGGGAAGTCCCCGGTGGCAGAGTGTGCCCAGGTGTGCAGAGCTGCCCCTGTGTGTCTTTACAAGGTGACCTGGGGAAGCAGGACATTTGCAAGTGTGGACTTGGGCCTCCGCACCCGTGCGGGGTGTGCTGGGCTGCAGAAACCAAGCACTGCACGTTCTGTAAGACCTGGGCCGCACCCCCTTTTACAACCTGGGAAGAGCTTTGCGGCACAGGAAGAAGCCGTCCGGGATGCCGAGCCCCCTTCAGGTGATGGGGCGGACATCCTTGGACCCGCCTGCCCCACCAGCCACGCAAGGAAGCCCCGGCTGCCAGGCCACTAAACAGAAATCCCGAGTAAAGTGAAATACGTGTTTGTATAGGTTCTACAAAACCACAGAGGCTATGTGGTACGTGCCAGCAAAAGATCAGGCGCTGACCCAGAAGATGATTCTTACCTGCCTCATCCCAGCGACATTCGGTTCCCTTACCTCAGGGACCTCTGGCTTCGCAGCTCAGCCCCGCTGGCTTCCGTCGTGCCTCTGGACCCTTCTGTGTCTTCGCTCCAGGTCCTTCCCCGTCCTCTGCGCTCCTCCAACACCCGTTCTCCTCAGTGAGTCCCGCCAAGGGCGGCGCTGCCCTCTTCTGACCTGACACCGCCCACCCCACCCCCCCGCCACCCCAGGCGGCACACTGGGGGCGTCCACCCCTGGGCGGGTCAGGAGCCAACGGAGGCAGCACACACGTGCAATGAGCCCCAGCACCCCTACCTGCCACTCAACAATTGCGCCAGAGTATTTTACAGCAAACTTAAGGCATGTCATCTTTAAAAAAAAAATGTATGTATTGCATTCATTGGGTGACATTGGTTAATAAAATGATACGGGTTTCAGGCATGTCACTTCCCCCACAAAGCAGCGTGCATCCCAAACTGGTAAAGACACCAGGCCATAATCACACCTCACGGGACTGCCCGTCACTCCGTGCCATTCACTGTCCTGCTGCGTTCAGTTTCCTGATGGTTTTGCCAATGTGTGTGTTACGGTCGCCCTGTTTGAGTTGGGATCCCGTTAGCTGTTGCTGCATCACAAACTCCTTGAGAAGGTAGTGGCTTCAAACAACCATTTTTAGAGTCCAAGTGGGCTGGGCTGGCCGGGTACGGGCTGAATGGTGGAGGGCGGCCTCACTCATGTCTGGCTGTGCACGTGCATCAGTCGCCCAGGGGAACGTGGGTGACGCTGCCAGAAAGCAAGTGTCACTGTGCAAGCCCTTGCCACTCTGCTTGGGTCACCTTTTTTCCATCCGTTGCCTGGAGCAGATGGCACAGGCGCCGCCTACGTGGCGGCAGGGACAGGAACCACAGCAGCCAGTATGGCAATTGTCCACAGTAAGGTCTACATTCTGTTCTTGTCTCTTAAGTCTCTTTTATTCTGGAACGGTATCTCTTGCTGATTGTTTTGAATGTCCCACACGAGGCTGTTTGACCTTCCTCATATAAGTAACAAGTCTGTGTCCCATGTGGGGACAGCCCTGCACATCGCTGTGTGGGGTTGCTCCAACCCAGTGACCTGGAGCATGGAAGCGGATGGGGGGCGTTCAGGCTTCGTCTTACTTTGTTTGTTTTTAATTGTTCAAATACATTTGTCTCCATTTTCCTGCCACCGCTTTCCCCTGCCCCACCGACCCCCAACTCCCCCCCTTAACCCTTCCCCGCTTGGGCTTTGTCCATGGGCCCTTTATACATGTCCCTTGATGTGACCCTTCCCCTTCCTTTCCCCGTTCCCCGCCTCCCTCCTTGCCTCTCATTACTTCAGTTTGTTTTTTCTTTCAATGTTGCTGGTTATATTTTTCTTGCTTGTTGATCAGGTTCCACTTGTAGATGAGATCATATGGGATTTGTCTTTTGCCCCCTGGCTTATTTCGCTTAGCATAATGCTCTCTAGTTCTATCCATGCTGTTGCAAAGGGTAGTAGCTCTTTCCTTCTGCTGCGTAGTATTCCATTGTGTAAATGTACGATAGTTTTTTGATCCACTCACTAATTTGATGGGCACTTAGGTTGCTTCCAGCACTTGGCTATTGTAAATTATGCTGCTATGAACATTGGGGTACATAGGTTCTTCTGAATTGGTGTTTCAGGATTCTTAGGGTATAAGCCCAGCAGTGGAATTGCTGGGCCACAAGGCAGTTCCATATTTAGCCTTTTGAGGTATTCCAGACTTCCACAGTGGCTGCACCAGTCTGCATTCCCACCAACAGTGCACTAGGGTTCCCTTTTCTCCACAGCCTCGCCAGCACTTGTTCGTTGATTTGTGCATGACGGCCATTCTGACCGGTGTAAAGTGGTATCTCATTGTGGTTTTAATTTGCATCTCTCTGATGGCTAGTGATGCTGAGCCTGCAACCAAGACTGCTCTGCCCAGCAAGGCTCTCAGGCTTCGTTTTTAGAGAAATGGATTTAAGAGACAATAGACAGGTTTGCTTGTGAGCCAGGCCAGTCAGAAGACAGGCTGTAAACAGGCTGGTCTCTAGTCAGGAAGCGCTGAGGCCTGTTCTTCGTGGCTTGTGTGCCCAGGAGGTTCTGAGAGGTGTTTTGGAGTCTCGGGAGCAGCCAATCTTGACACCCATGTGTGGGGCACAGGCTGGGTACTCAGTGTTTTGGGTTTGTTTTTTCTTAATTTTTAAAAATTGTTATTCAAGTACAATTTTCTCCATTTTCCCCCAACTAGAGTTTTTATTTAGTAGAACTGAATCAGCAAAAACAAACCAAATGGCCCCAGGATAGTGAGTCATAACCCACCGAAAGGAAAAGTGAGAAAAAGGGAGAAGAGGCAATTGTGTGTGTCAAAAATGTATGAAGAAGCCACACAGGGTAAATAGTGTTTTGTAGACATTTTGTTCTGTGCATAGATGTGTATGCACTGGGTCACAGTGTAAAACATGTCTTTATTTTTTTACTATTTTTAAGTTTGTCGAGTTGGAAATCGCATAATCATTTTAAAGGGAAGACTTCAGTGGCACTTAGTACCTCCACAGTATTGTATAACCACCACCACTTCTGTTGAGGGCCAACAAGAAAAGGTATCTCTTAACTTGATTATTGTCAGTTTTTTCCAAACTTTTTTGATCTATAGCAGTTCATTGACCTGAAGAAAAGCATGGGCCCGTGTCTCACCTCAGGCTGCCATAAAAAATGTCATTAACTGAGTTGCTATAACAACAGAAACTTATTTCTCATGTTTCTGGAGGCTGGAAGTCTGAGATCAAGGTGCCTGGAATGTCGGTTCCATTTTGAGGCCTTTTGGCTTGTAGGTTGCTGTTGTTGCATTGCATGTTCCCATGACTTCTTTGTGCACAGGGAGAGTGGAAAGAGTGAGTATCTCTTTATAAGGACACTAATCCTATTAGATCGGGCCCCACCCTCATGACCTCATTTAACCCTATTTGCCTCCCAAAGGCCCCATCTCCAAATCCCATCGCACTGTGGGTTAGGGCTTCCACATGTAGCTTTTGGAGGGGACACAATGCTTCAGTTCGTAGGAGGCCTCTCCTACAAACAGCATCGACCTAATTTTGCGAGCTTCAGGAGTGAGCAGCTCGACTTGTGATTGAGTCCAGTTCTTGTGCCATAGCAGCTTCATGGCCATGGAAACCCTCCTGGTGGGCACGTGGCCCGGCCGGATGGCAGAGAAGCACCTCTGGAGGACAAGAGCGAGTCTTGATCAGGACTCTGCCTCCGCTTCGCCCAGCCCTACAAGACCTGTTGTGGGCTCCTCTTCTGCAGGGGAAGCAAAGGAAATGGCAGAGGGACCCAACTCCTTCCTGAAGGTCACAGTGGCTCCATCAGTGACCCTCAGATCCCAGGCTGTTTGTCCCACATGCTCCTGTGGCACAGGAAGCTGGACCATTACGCACCATTCCCAGCATGATGCTTTGAGATGGACATTTGAAATCTGTCTTGGGGTAGGACACCACGGTGCTGAGAGAGTTTTGCTTCCCATGAGGAATGAGCACCTGTGTTCTAATTATGACAGAGTCATGCATGGAAGAGATTAGATCAACTTGGAACAATAAAGAGACGTAGAGGGGAGGCTGGCTCCATCCTAACATAAAGAAGTTTCTCACATGTCCTGCTGTTTCAGAGTGATAGTGATCTCCTCATCCCTGGAAGCATTCAACAACTTCCCATGGCTATTGTAGAAGGGGTCCGAGCAAGGGGTAGGGTGTGGACTAAATGTTCTTCAAGGGTCTCTGCCCACCTCGAGAGCCCATGGGAGTCCATTGACGATTTCAGGTGTAAGCCGGCCTACCCATCACAGCCCTCTATCCTCCGGGTCAACTGACAAAGAGGTGCCTGTTGGAATTAAGGTGGCATTTAAAAGCTCCCATTCCCTAGCACTCTTCATAAATAGAGTTGCCACAAACTTCTCAAGCGCTCTCTGCTCCCGTGAGACCAAGGCGCTGAGGAACAAGGCTTCATCCTGTAGCTGATGGCCAGCAGAGTGCCCCAGTGCCCCACAGGCCCGTGTCCCAGTACACCCCCGAGCCGATCACCTCACCCCAAAGCCTGTAAGCTTCTTAGCTGAGCACCCCCGCGAGCCGAGGCTGGGTTTGGCTCCAGGAGAGGAAACAGCATGTTGGCTCAGTCTCACGGGACGCCAACTCCAGAGAAACAGACTTGGAGAATTCTTAGAGCAGTTCATTTCCAAAAAACTGTAAGAGAAGGCCAACAACTTTTTTATTTTGGCCCAGCAAGGATGTTTTTTCCTAAGCTACTGTCTACGGTCATCTTTCTAAAAGAAAGGTCCCGTCATCCTCCTGTGTAGCAGCCGCATTCTGAAATATTTATGGATCAAGTGTCATGGTGTCTGCCATTTACTTTCATGTGGTTCCAAAGGAAAAAACGATCAAGATCCATGACCACAGGCAGCAAGGTGTTCACTGTTGGCTCTTGGTGTTGACCGTGGGTGTTCATTGTGCCGTTCCAACTTTACTGTTCTAAAGTGCATAATGAATTCTAGAGAATGCAAAACCAACAACAGGGGCAAACCAGTGTTCCCCTGGGGTTGGGGGGCCGGTGGAAGGGGTGACCGAAAGGGGGCCACAGAGCTTCTGGGGGTGATGGACGTGCTCTGTGCCTTCATCATGGTGGTGGGGAAACTCATCAGACTCTACTGAAAATGAGTAGGTTTGGTTGTAGGTCAAGTATACCTCAGTCAGGAGGAAGAAACAGGACATTTTAATACTGAATACATTTGATTCTATGTGAACACTCACAATAGTGTCCTTGTTTTTCTCATTTCTCCTCCAAGCAGAGGCCAGGGGCTGGGAATGACTGCCCGAAACCACATTTCTGGAAAACTGATGTTAGCTCCCTAGTGTACATCTTTGCTGATTGTACATGTAATGCGTATGAAAACATGCATATGTGTGTGCACATGTATAAATATAGATGTGTGCATATATACCCATATAGACTTTGCGTTTGCTACATCTGATCATACCACACACTTCATCCTACAACCTCCTTTGTTCAGTCACAATCTCTGCTTTCTTATTCTAGATATTTCCATCTTACCTGTCACCTAGATCATATTCTGATTTTCCCAGTGGACCCAAAATATCTCCTACATCCCGTTGGTCCATGTGGGCATCCGACCCGGGACCAAACATTACGTCTGATACTGAGTGCCTTGCACGTCTTTTAGTCTAGTCCATCACTTCTCTAGGACATGGACTTAGGAAAGACTCCAGCTGCGTTCTGGGTCCATCTGGTAGCTCTCTTGCAACATCATGTAGCCTGTTCCTCTGTTTTTGTATTTCCCATAAACTAGAGTCATGTCTAAAGGCTGATGAGGTCAGTACCCCCAGGGGACGCATCGCGCCGGGCTGGCAGCATCGGGGATGCTGAGTGGGCCGTGGGCACGCCTGGCTCTCCGCTGCGCTGTCGGGCTTGCCCCTGTGACGAGCATGCGGTCCGTACAGTGTCCCCTTGGTTCTATAGGGACAGCCATTTTCCCATCGGCTCTTCACCCAATGGTTTTGGCACTGGCGAATGGTTTCTGTCTGAGCCAATAACTGCATCAAGGTTTTCGAATGTTGGTTTCAGTATTATTTGGGTGTGGCGAGGCCCGCAGATAAGGAGACAAACACCGTGAAATGACGGTCTGTTAGAGTTTCCCAAAAGACGGACGGCCATGCCACACAGGGCCACCTAAAGAAGCATCGGGTTGCGTGGGGGCAGTGGGATTGAGGGGAAAACGTGAGCAAGAGTCTTTCTGTGGCTCCCAGGAAAGAACTGGAGAGACAGGGTGAGCAGACTCAAGACCGGCGGGCTGAGTGACTTCAGAGGCCCGGGGGGTGGAAAGGGAGTGGGGGCTGGCCTCAGGGTCCCTGGATGGTGAGGGCGGGGCAGCGGTGGCTCTGCGTGGGAGACAAGAGGGCATCGAGGTGTGCAGGCCACCGGCCGGCTAGTTGGCATGTACCCCAGGGTCCGCGCAGTCCCAGGCAGCAAAGCATCAGAAACAGGGAAAAGAAAAAGGCACTATTAATACAACCCGTTGGTCAGATGATGTTTCTCTAATTTTACCATTTGTTTTACACTTAGTAGCTGCCATTCCTTTATTTAAAAAAAAAAAAAGTTTAATTCCTTAGAAATCAAAGAAAAAAAACAGTCCCCCCAACTTTAGCTATTGCCAGCTATTACACTGTTAACTCCAAAGACTCACTGATTCACTCAAAGTATCGTGAGGTTCCTATGCTAGAGGCTGGCGGTGAGATAGATATAAAACATTCAAAAACTGCTGAACTCCGGGGACTTACATTCCAGCGATGGTGTGGTAGGGGGACGGACAAGAAACAAAATTAAAAAGTGAATTATCTTGTGCGTTAGAGGATGATAAGTGATATGGAGAAAAATAATGCAGGGAAGGGAGATGTAAGTGTTCTGTGAGGGGTGACAGAGGATGACATTGAAGTCAAGATCCAAAGGAAGGAAGGGAGTGAGCTGAGTGCCTCTCTCTGTGGGAAGAGTGTCGGCGTGGGAGGGGGGCGGGGGCGGGGTGGGTACAAAGGCCCTGTGGGTGGTTTGAAGACAAAGAGGCCCGTGGACTGGAGCTAAGTGGGCGAGCTGGCGAGATGTAAGGTCGGAGGCGGTGGGGCAGCCAGGACCCGCAGGGCCTTGCAGGCATCATCCTGCAAGGTGTGTTCTGTAGATGCCAACACCCCAAACAAGCTTTCTGCTCAGACTCGCTTCCTCCCCAGACACCAGGTCAAGTCCAACGTGTGGGTTCGTGGCCACAGCGTGCCCTCCGGCCACTACCTGGGTGTTCCTGGGAGCGGCCGTTGTTCCGGGCACCGCGATCGGAAGGCGAGGGAGACGTGACGGCATGGGCCCTGCCCTCCTGAATCCTGGAGTCAGGTGCGGAAGAGGGGCACGCAGTGACCTTCCACACAAGCGTCAAGGGCCCTGTGCCTCTAACCTGGTGCTGGCGGACAGCGAAGGCTCCCCTGTGGAAGGGACCACTGAGCTGGAGTCGGAAGGGAGGCCGAGTCAGCAGGGTGAGGGGACGGGAGGACAGTACAGGCACAGGCTGCGTTGCGGGGAGGGGAACGCAGGGCCGCGCAGAGGGGCGGGAGAGTTTTAAAGGTGCACCTGTATCCGGAGAGCCATGGGCCACCGGAGCAGCCAGGCGCAGAGCAGGGCCCGGAGGGTGGAGACTGACAGCTGTGCCGTCAGGTACAGGGCGGCGTTCTGGTCCCGGTGGGCGGCGTGACTGCTGCGGACCCACGGGGAGGCGCTGGGCACGCAGAGCCGGGGACGGCTCCAGAGACACCAGGGAAACGGGCAGGACTCGTGACCTCATCAAGAGGACAGTGGGCCGGAGGAGAGGGACCTGTCCGGTTTGGCCTTCCCAGAAGGAGGGTTCATTTTGAGGTTGACAGGTCTCCTTGACCTTTTTTTATATCCCCGCCCCCAAGGTTGCATTAGCCACCTGCTGAGTTTAATTAATCAAATGTGCTGAGGACTCAAAATCCCTTGTCCTTCAAAGGGATAACAGTCTATTTCCAGAACCCAAAGAGGGTTAGGCCAAAAGCTTTCCTTGAGCCACTGTCCCTCCCCCAGTGCCTTGCCCAATCGAGCGGGAGGGCTCCCACGTCTGAGCCCTCCCACCCTGAAGGAGACCTGGCCGAAGGCCTGGAACTGCTGAAATGACACGTTCACCCATGTGGACACTAATCCAGCTTCCGCTGTGCTCCTTAGATAGGATTTGGCTTTGGGGCACTGAGCCCTGGGCGCTGGGCCCCCTCTCCGATCCCCTACAAATTCCTCACCCATGTCAGCCAGGGGCCTCGCTGGGGTCATCTGGGTAGACAGCAAGGGTGGCGGCCACCCCCGCAGGCACAGAGACCTTCTCCCGAGCCCATCCGGCTGGTTGCGCAAGGTATGTGAGGGCCCTTTCACAAGCCTTCTCGGGCCCTGGGGGCAGGACAGGGCAGAGCTGGGCTTTGGATGATGGGCATCTTCATGGCGTCTGTCTGTCCCTGCTTCACCTGCTCTGTGCAGTTTCCACGGACTTTGCTTTGTGAGGGGAACTGGAGCGCATTGAGTTCCAGAAGCCAAGACGGCCTCCTCACTCTCTGTACCTGGGGAGCGGGGAGGGAGCAGGAACAGGAAAGCACCACCGACAGCGAATGGCTGGGCATAACTTTTGGGGAGGTAATACATTTTGAAAATGATGTTTGTGAAGGGGTTACATTGTGCTTTTCGGGACCCCTTCCCATTGTGCTTGCCGTAAAATGTCATCCTGACAGAATTTTAAAGTCAACCCCGCCGAGCGTATGATACCAAAGGTTAGTCAGCAAGTAAAACCTTCCCACAAGAAGCCAGCTGGACTCCCTGGTGAGGGGTACTAACAAATGTTTGAGGCTTATCAATAACAATAAAAGCACAGCTTTTCAAAAATAGTCCACTGCTGTGCAATGCAAACCAGTGAACTTATCTGATCAAACCTGAATACTGAGGCAGTAGGAGGAAATGTCGGATGGATGCACAACATCTCATGAGTAGGCTTTACGCCCAGGATGTGCTTGACTTTCTGTTTAGGATCGATTTTACCTTCCCGCAGCCCTCTGACTCCTGACGTGCATCCCGAGGCGGAAGGAGCCTGTGGAGACACAAAACATGGCGGCCAACGTGAAGACCGGGAAGGCGGCACCAAACCACGTCATCTTCAAGAAGGTCTCCCGGGACAAGTCGGTAAGTAGTGCACAAGTGAGTGCTTGATGGAAAGATTTGTGTGTTTGTTTGTTTGTTTTTTAAAGGAGGCTTTCTGAGAATAGACACAATCAACACCAAGGCCCAGGGAGGTCAAGGGATGCTATTTTCTGTCTCTGCCTGAGATGGACGATAAATGTGATATAAATGAATTAGTGAATTGCAGAAATGCAATTTCTCTACAGCTGCAGCAAGACTTTAGTCCTGAGACCCTTAATTTTCTCTTAATCTCTCAGTCCCTCTCTCCTCACCCCCGATTTTACATCTTTCCCTAGCTAGCCTTGAACCCACGACTTACCATTTCAAACACTGTTTTGCCGCTGCCTGGAAGTCACTTGACCCTTTTTCAGTCATCTCACCTCCCGGAAAGCCCCAGTCCCACATTGCCGTGCCGCCCAACCTCCCATGCACGCCTGCCCCCACGCTGTGCTCTCAGCCTCGCTGGGCCTCCAGCACCGCGGGATAAGGGAGCACATCCAGCCGCTCCCTGTCCTCCGCGCCGCCCTGTGGATGCATGGCCACCAGCATCCTGGCAAATCGCACCCTTGGCAGAGATAACGCCACTGTTGGCTCCATCAGGGGCACTTTAGACCGTCTAGATGTGCCCGTGAACTTCCCGGCATGGGAGACCGGGGAAGGTCCACCCCGAAGTCTCCGTGGATGGGGTCTCCTTGCTCCATTCAGTGGCTCCTCGGGGCAAACCATTTAGTTCAACCCCTTCAGTACAAGCTGCATACGTAATTTCAAATTTTCTAATAGCTGCAATTATAAGAAACCAGGTGGCATTCATTTTAGTATTATCTTTTCTCTAAGCCAATATATCCCAAAAGCTATTGTTTTAACCCATAAATGGTACAAAGGTTATTGCTGACATATTTTACATTCATTTTCTGGTGGGTATTCTACATCTGTCATGCCTGTCAGCTTGGAATGGCCTTATTGCAAGTGTCCACTTGCCACCTGTGACTAGTAGCTGCCGTACTGGACCATGTGAATCAAGGTCTTCCCTCTTGCTGACTTCTGGAGCCTCTACAGGGCCCCCCAAAACACATTCTGACCCTTCTGGTGTCACACAAGAGGCTCGGACTTCGCACAGCCTGTCTCCCTCTCCCCTCCTAGCGGAGGTGCATCGTCATTTTCATCAAATACTCTGATCCTCTGAGTACTTGGGGTGACGGCTGGGCGCCCCTCGACCACTCACTCTCCAAACTGTCTTCCAACTGTGTCCTTCCAGGGCACTTCCGGCAGAAGGAGAGAGAAACTGCTGCTGAGTCCTGTCATTTTCCACTTTCTTCTTCCTCACACCTAGGGCTGCATCCTTTGCACCAAGAAATTTAGACTTTTTTGTATTATGGGCTAAAAAGTAATTCATTCCTGAGTGTCTCACAGATTAGGGCCATCCCAGCGGCACCCTCTGTCTGTGTGGGTCCCAGCATGAGGTGCCGGGCTCACAGGGTGTTTCCCTGGGAGCCTCTCTGCTCTGCTCTCTTCTGTGATCTTCATCCTCCTGCTGGTGGCAAGGGGGCTGCTGCAGCTCCAGGCATCTCACTCACTTCCTCTCATAAGAAGGAAGAGGCTGTTGCTTCCTGCAGTCTCTCTTTATGGGTGAGGACATAATTTCCAAGAGCCCTCCAGCACAATTTGCCCATGTCTCATTGGTCAAGCCTGGGTAACATTCCTGCTTCTTCTTTTTTTTTTTAATCCTCTCCTGAGGATGATTTTTCCTTTGCTTTTAGAGTGAAAGGAAGGGAGGGAGAGAAAGAGAAGGAAACATCTGTTTGTTGCTTTCTCATATACACCCCAGCCAGGGTCAAGCCTGCAACCTAGGCATGTGCCCTGACCGGGAATCGAACCTGCGACCTTTTGGTCTAAGAGACAATACTCCAACCACCTGAGCCTCACCAGTCAGGGCCATATGCCAGCTTTAAACCAATCCCGAGCCAAAGGAATTGGATGATCATGATTGGATCCGGCCAATCAAGAGTCATCCTCTGGGGCTGGCCTCCTGGTAGCACACGGTCGCATGGGGGATGGTGGACCCTGCCACAGCAGGTGACTTTTATCCAGGAAGAAGGAGCACACGGCTGTTGGGTAGGCAAGCGGCAGGCGGCTACCGTCTCACAGGCGCCCCTCTTCTCTCCCTGCCCCGGCCCAGCCCTGCCCTGCCCATCCCTCGGCAGCGGCAGCGGAAGAGGCGCCCTTGCTCCCACCTGAGGTCCGTGCTAATTTCTGGCCCCCCCCCCCCCCGTCAGCCTCCCTGCTGGGCCGCCTCTGTGGCCTCTCTCTCTCTTCCGGGACTTTGCCTGATCATCACAACAAGTACTGACCGCATGTTCCTCAAAAACACCACCAACCACCCCACCCCCGACGCCACCCCCTTTCTAGCTCGCCTTCCTTCACAGCCAAAGCATGAAAAAAAAGAAAAATGCTCACTCTCGTCACCTGCCTTCTTCCCTCCCCTCCACAACTGTATGAGCAGCCTCTCTGGCTTCCGTCCCGAGCCTGCCAGCCTGTCCTCCACTTGGCTGCTAACGTGGTCACAGTCTCAGGGGCCTCCTCTGTGACACAGGGCTGATTCCTACCTCACAGGTTGCTGTGAGGATTCAATGAGCTAATGCAGCCGCAGCGCTCAGCTTGGTGCCTTGAACATGATGAACACTCTAAATGCTACTTAACCACACAGGTCTTCCATCCACTTAAAATGCTTCAATGTCTTCCCAGATTCTTTGGGCTCAGGTCCCCAGAGACCGTCTCTGCCATCAGCCTGCAACCCCATTTGGGGGCCATGCACCTGCAGATGAAGCATTAGCAGTTCCAGAACTGTCCTATTGGCTCTGGGCTTTGCATGCACTGAGCTGTTTTGCCCAGAAAGTATCCCCCACCATCCCACCTCCCGTCCCCCGTCCGGTCACCTGGCTATGCTGTGCTTAAGGTGCTTCCATGTCAATCATATCGATGACCTGAGGCACGGGGATTCAGTCTCGGATGTCTGCGGGGAGGGGGCGGATCTAGGAGACGATTTAGTGACAACCAAAATGATTTGGGGTGTTCATGGAAATAAAAGCCTGAATTTAAGAGGCTTAGGGAGGAAGGGACTGGCCGGGTGTGCACCCGCACATGGTGTGCTTAGCGAATGTTATGTAGCTGATCCTGTTCTAGATTCTGTGACAGCTGGCAGGTGAATGAAAGAGAATTCTTATCGTGAAGGCTCTCACGGTTCCGCAGGTTAGTGGTGGGTGGCCATGAACCAACCTGTGCTCTCCCAAGGGGGCTGGTGAGGGGACCTTAGCTGCCAGGGGCGCAGAGGCCATGGCTACCTCGCTGCCCCCAGCTCCACCGCCCCCCACCCAGGTTTACCTGTAAAGAAGCTCGTCTGGCGGGATTTCACAGACCCCCAGAACTCCCGGCTCTGCGCTCAGTCTAGAGGTTCTTTTAACAAGGAGGGAAAACCTTTCATTCACAGCTAGAAGTTACAGGCTTAACAGACAAACAACGAGTGGGAGAAGCCTCATTTGCATAAGTGTCACTTTCCTCTAAAGTACTGTCATGTCAGTCAATTCAGCTGGTTTGGCCGGTTGATATCAGACCTGGGCTTGGTGCGTGAAGGTGGAGAGAATGGGGCCCATCCAAAGGGGCGGGAAGAATTCCGCTGAGCTGACCTGCAACGTGGGAGGAAGCCCACCATCCCCGCCCATGGCCATGCAGGGGGCGGGGAGCCGCTGGCCAGGCTGCGGGCCCAGGGGCTCCTCTTCCCAAAACCCATCAAAAGGCTGGGGTTGTTGCTGACTTTTAGGATGCACACCTTTGGTGGGTGTTCTCTGGCCGCTTAGGATCCGCATCCGCTCTGCCCACAGGTGACCATCTACCTGGGGAAGAGGGACTACGTAGACCATGTTGACCACGTAGAGCCAGTGGGTAAGTTGAGTTTGGAGCCAAGTTTTCATGCAGGTTTTCCCTTACGTCGTGAGACAGCTGCTCGTTTTGTATTTTTAAAAATCGGCTTTGCTGATCATCTAATCAAAGAAGTGCAAATAAAAACATCGGTGAGGTGCCACTGTCTGATTGGAAACACTTTTAAAGAGTAGTGGGGCTGGGGGGAGACACAGGACTTGTTTCCAGAGAGTGTAAAGAATATACCCAAAACAAACAGCAAAAGGAAAACAAAACTTACTCAGAAAATAGAAGACATTAAGAGGCATTTCATCTAAGAAGACATATAGATGGCAAATAAGCACATGGAATAGCGTTTGACATCATCAGTCATTAGAGAAATGCAAATGAAAACCGCAATGAAATAGCATTATACGGTTGTCCGAATGGCTGAAATTAAACATATTGACTATACGCAATGCTGGCGAGGATGCAGGGAAACTGGGTCTCTCACACATGGTTGGTGGGAATGCAAAACAGCACAGCCCCTCTAGAAAACAGCCTGGTGGTTTCCAGAAAACTGAGCAGACACTTACCCTATGACCCAGCAGCTGCACCCATGGGCGTTGATTTATCCCAGAGAGAAGAAAACCACATCCACGTGAAAACCTGGGCTGTTTGCTCACAGCAGCTCTGTTTGTAGGAGCTCCCAACTGGAAGGCGCGGAAACAGCTCTCCCCAGGGGAACGAGGTTAAACGCTCTGTGGCTCACGCATACCGTGGCGTTGTCCTCGGCCATAAAACGAAGGGGTGGCCGATGCACCAGCAGCTTCTGGCCTCCAGGGTGTTGGGCCGAGTGGGATAGCCAGGCCCTGAGGGCTGTCGGGCGTGCGATTCCATTTCTGTAACATTCTCTGGATGAGAAAATGATAGATAGAAATGGGAAACTGATCCGTAGTTGCCAGGGCGGAGGGGGCTGGGGGTGGGACTCCACAGGGAGCCCCCGGGAAAGAGCGTGACAGGACGATGGGAAGGCTGTCTCCAGCACCCCTGTCCCCAGGCTGCGCAGTGGTCACTCGGATCCCCACACGAGAGGAAACGACTTAGAGCTCTGCACGCACTGTACCCGTGTCAGCTTCCTGGTTTTGACATTGTACTGTAATTACCTACGATGTAACCACTGGGGTGCACAGGGGCCTCTCTGTACTATCTTTGCCACTTCCTGGGATTCTATAATTATGTCAACTCACATAGTTTTGTTTTGCTTTTTAAAAGAGGAGTGTACAAAGCAGGCATTTTTAGGCACTGAGGATGAGAGGGCCTCTCAGCCAAGCCCTCTTGGGAAGGCCGTGTGGCAGTCCCTTATCAAAACCCCAAGAGTAGGGATGACGGTTTATCCATGAGGATGCTCACTGCAATATTAATGGTAATGGAGAAAGGTGGAAACAACCTAAATCCCCTAACAGGAGGGCGGTAATTGAAACTGTTGTGCGACATTCATTCCCGGAGCACTGTCTAGCCATTGGCATGGTGAGTGCGTCGCATGCACGCGTATGTGGATAGATGTTTGCAGCGTAGTTGAATGAGGAAAGCAGCTGACTGACTAGTAGGTAGAGTAGGATCTCTCTCTCTCTCTTTTTTAGTAAAGACATGCATGTAAGTGCATATACCTCTGGAAATAAGTTCTGTGCCAGTATCTTGACAGGGGGTGTCTCTGAGGACTGGAAATTTAGGTGACTTTGTGTTCTCTTTGCTTAATTTCCCTGGAATGAGCACAGTTTACAGGGGCAATGAAAACCTCTCTCTGGGGAAGTTCTCTGGCCTCTTTCATCTCCCCGTGCCTCACCTTCTCTCTCTCTGGTGTAGATGGTGTTGTGCTGGTGGACCCTGAGCTCGTGAAGGGGAAGAAAGGTGAGGTGGGCTCTGGTCCTCTGGGAGCAGCGTCTGGGCTGGGCTGGCGTGGGAAAGGGGTGCGGGAAGCGGGTGTGCGTGTGGCAGGCAGGCCGCGTGTGGCAGGCAGGCCGCGTCTGCCCACCTGGCGTCCCTGGCATCACCCTCAAGGCACTGGTCCTGCTCCCAGTGCGGCTCCCGGTCCCCATTCTCAGAGGAAGGTGAGGGCTCAGGGAAGCCAGGTGACCGAGGCGGCAGGAGAAGTGAATGGCGGCAGAGCCTAGAGCCCACGTCAGGGCTCCGTCAGTGCGCCTGCAGCTCTGTGCCACGGCCAGCGCAGGGGGCTCCTCGGTGGGCTCGCGGAAGAGGGCGAACTGGAGCCTGCGGGGAGGCAGGATTTGCCTTGCTGCTGGCTGCGGCAGCTCTGAGCTGTGGCGTCGCGGCGCCCTGGAAGGTCTCTGGCAGCTGGGCTGTGGGTGGCAGGTTAATTTGGTGCTAATAACGGTTTGTGAACTCAGCGAGAGCAGATCCGTGTTATCCTGATGATAACGCCACAGACTTCTGTTCTGAAGATGCCTCTTGGAGCGGTTGCCACTGGCAACCCTGAGGCATTGTTCCTAACCCTGGATGTGCCCAGGGGACTGTGTCAGATATGGGGCCATCAGGACCCAGGGGGCCCGGCAGAAATAGGGCTGAACCTCCCCCTGCTGTATCCTCCCTCCTGGCGGCGCCCTCAGCAGAGAAGGGCACCTGCTCGGAGCGGAAGCGCTGCCTGGCGACGAGGCGCACTGCCGGGTCCCCTCTGGACACTGTCCTCTTACAGACCTCAGATGAGGGACAGGCAAGCAGCTGGTGTCTCTTCGGAGCTTAGTCACGGGGGCAGTTATCCTTGGGACGGACAGACAGACAGACAGACAAAATCCTCAACTGACAGCTGCCAAGGGCGCAGGGGACCACCTCTGTGTGCTTATGTTCTAGAAGAGTGTGCGCTTTTCTTTCCCACATCACAGTCAGCGCTGATGTGTGGAGGTTCATATACTTCTTCAGTCCACAGGGGGCACAATTTGCTTGTTTTTAATCAAACTGAGTCTTCAGAAGTGGCGATTCAGAGAATGCTGGTTTCAGAGCCGTGTGGGCGGTAGGGGAAGGGTTCTTTGTGGACTGGAGTCTGTCTCTCCTCTTGATCTACACGCCCCCACCCCGAGCCCCTGGCCCAGGCCACTCCCGGCTCTGGTGCAGACCTGTTCGCCCCCTGCTTCTTCCCTTCACCCTCCACTCCAGCCAGACACCCTGCCCTCAGAACCCAAGCAGCCTGCGCTGGTTAAACGTCTCCTGAGCCCTGGCAGTGGCTCAGTTGGTTGGAGCGTCGCCCGTACACCAAAGAGGCTGTGGGTTCCAGCCACAGTCAGGGCGCACACAGGAGGCAACTGATCGATGTTTCTCTCTCTCATCACTCTGTCTCTCTCCTTCCTCTCTTTCTCAAATCGATAAACATTCTTGGGTGAGGATTTTGTTTTAAACTTTTTAAAAGCCTCCTGAGGGTCAAGAGGAAGGGGTGATGGGACAGAGGAGACAGCGCAGTCAGGGAGCAAAATAGCAGGGGTCACAGGAGGTGCCCCCGGCCCCCTGACGTGCGCCTGCAGAGTAATTGACACAGCCCTGGGGAGGGGCGTGGGGCCCCGCCGGGGAGTGTGCTGCTCAGACCCCACCCCTCCGGGAGCAGAGGCTGGACGCCGTGACCGATGCTGTCGGGGTCGCCCTGTGCTCACTCAGCCACGGGCCGAGCCCACGCTTCTCCTCTCTGCCTTCCAGTGTACGTCTCTCTGACGTGCGCCTTCCGCTACGGCCAGGAAGACATCGACGTGATTGGCCTGAGCTTCCGGAGGGACCTGTACTTCTCTCGGGTCCAGGTGTTCCCCACCATGGGGGCTGCAGACACCCTCACACAACTGCAGGAGAGCCTGATCAAGAAGCTGGGGGCCAACACGTACCCCTTTGTGCTCACGGTGGGTGACCCCTCTCCCCTACCCTGGTTCCTCCACCCGTAGCACCTTGCGATGTGACCGGGAGCGAAGGAAAGGAGACAGAGGCATGACTTCACATCTGTGGGCCTTCAAATTGCACCCTTGGAGGAAATGCTAGATTGCACGGGCTGTGATTGTCTTTTTTTAAGCCCTTGAACATAGTCTCTCAGCCTTTGAAGACACCGGTTGAACCAATGGTTTAAATATTCCCCTTCACCAGAGCACCTAATTACATGCGCATGTTCTTCCTTCACTTGCCCATCTATAAAAAGAAAGTAGTGCCCCTCCGTTCGCCCCGGGAATTCAGAACAGAAGAGTTCCTTACGGGACAGGAGATTCTAGTGAAATAAGAAGCCTGTCTGTAACTCCGTAGGTCCCCATGGCTAAATCGCGTCATCTCCCGAGGTCTTGTCTCCCTCGGGGACGCCTGGCTCCCCCAGAGCCTGGCTGCTTTTCCCCTGAGGCTTGGCCTGGACTGTTCCCTAGCATGTCTTAAAATTATATCCTCCTCCAAAGTTGCACGGTTCATCTTAACAAAAGGAAGGAAATTCTGATGCATGTTACAACGCGGATGAACTTGGAGGTCATTGTGCTACGTGAAAGAAGCCAGTCACGAAAGAACAAGTGCTGTTTGATTCCAGTCACATAAGGTCCCTAGAGTGGCCAAAGCCACAGAGGCAGAAGGCAGACTAGAGGGGGCCGGCGCTGGGGCGGGGGGCGTGAGTGTGCAATGATGAAGCAGTTCTGGAGACGAGAGTAGGGACTTGTGCCGGACAGTGTGAAGCCACTTAGTGCCACTCAACTGTACGCTTCCGGTGGTAGGTGTTATGTGTATTTTATCGCAATGCTTTTTTAGAAAATCACTTTAAAAACGGTCCACGGTCCTGGGTGCTCCATGCACTGGTCCTGGGAATCTGAAGTGACATAAGCTTTTGGAGACCACATGTCAACGTGCATCAAACCTTAAAAATGTGATTCGGACCTGGCAGTCCCCTTTCCAGCAGTGTGGCCTCTGGGATTAGCTGAGTGAAATTGCGCTGAGGCGGCTGAAGGCGAGTATTTACTGCAGCATGTTGGTCATGGCAAAGAAGCCTAGAGCCGCCAACAAAGGAGCCGGCTACTGAAACGTGGTGTTTCTGGCGGCGCAGGCCGTGACGCAGGGTGGAGACGTGGCTGTAGCGCAGCCCGAGCAGTATGGTCAGGGTCAGTGACGTGCGCAAGCCAGACGCAGGACGTGTGCATCACGTGGCCCCACGTCTGAGAAACACACCCAGCTCCATGCGTCTCGGCGTGTCAGGTGGACAAGACATTCTGGGACGGCTCTGTTCACGACGTCATTCCAGGCGCGTGCACATGCGTTTCCTGTTGCTTGTTCATTGTGTTGTGTTTTCCAGTTTTTGCACAGTGAGGGCACGTTACACGTGGAGTCACCTCTGAAAGAAGTGATCTGTCATTTCTTTCCACAGTTTCCCGACTACTTACCCTGCTCGGTGATGCTGCAGCCCGCGCCGCAGGACACGGGCAAGGTTGGTTCCAGAAGGCAGGCCGTGGGTTCCTTCCTTCCAAAGACTTTAGAAAAGGGCCCTTTATCATGGGATGTTTCAAACATACATAGAGAGAGAGTCTGATGAGCCTGTCTCTAGTCTTCAGCTGGTGTTAACTGTGAACGACCCTGTGAACAAAATGGTAGAGCCTCCCCTTCTCCGTGGGTCTCACAGGTTGGTGGAGAGAAACAGGCAAGGAGCAGGTCACAGGCCCCTGCAGGCACCTCCGAGGGTGCCGCACGCTCTGGAGAGCAAGAGGCTGTGAGAGGCAAAGGGGTTGGGGGCGGGGGTAGTGCTTGGCCAGGATGCTGAAGGATGGCCTCTCTAAGAGGGTAAAGGAGACACCATTCCCTCCCAGGGGACAGCCTTCCAGGCAGAGGGGACTCCGTGAGTGGTATGGGCTGAAGCGGGAGGAGCCGGGGTGAAGTGGTGGGGGCAGGGCGGGGGGTGGGAGGTGCAGCGAGTTCAGGAAGGGCCTCAGTGACCGCTGTGAGGTTGGACTTTTCCTAGGTGACATGGGGGCCACTGGCAGGCTTAGGTGTCCTGGGGTCACTCTGGCCACCTTGGAGCTGGGGCTTGGAGAACACACAGGAGTTTGTCAAACATGAAGAAAGAGAGAGGAAGAGAGGCCTGGAGCACCTTGGAAGAAGGAACCGCGTGTGCCGGCGTAGGCCGGTGCAGGGGCGCACACAGTGCGGGGTCAGGGGGCCCGGGAGCGAGGGGTTCCATGGCTAAGAATGCCGGGTGCTGGTGGGTCACCATGTTTTCGTGGTAAACCCCGAAAAGGGTAAGGCTGAGACAAAAAGACCGGGTGCCAGGTGACACCCCCACGGGACATATGACCTGTGCCAGGAAAGCAGGTGCCGACCAAAGTCTTTTCTGTTCTCTGTCCCTGCAGTGCTGTGGGGTCGACTTTGAGGTCAAAGCATTCGCCATAGACAGCACGGACGAGGAGGAGGACAGAGTTCCCAAGAAGTAAGAGTGTCATTGTGGGACTAGGTGGGGGCTGGCGGAGGGGTCGTGACAGGAAACCGCCCCTCACTCGTGTCCGTGGCAGAACTCTCCCCGGGGGCCCAGCCCGGGGCCCCCTGGGACAACCTCTACACGGGCTGGGGGTCAGCGGCCGATCATTTTGGGGGAAAAAAACAAAGAGAAAGACAGGAGAGCTAGCAACCCCAAGGGCTCACAGAAGCCCCTGAAAGCCTCCAGATGCCTTCTTTCTTTAAATTTTCTTTTTCTTCTTTTGTCATTTCTTTACGGTGGAAAAACGTACACAACATGAAGTTTATCATTTTAACCATTTTCAAGCTTATAAGCCAGTGGCATTAAGAACATTCACTATATTGTGGAACCATAGTCACCCACGAAGCCTCTCGTCGCCCCACACCACAGCCCTCCACCCACCAAGCAAAGCCTCGTATCCCTCCCGACCCCCAGGCCTGGCCTCCTGCGTTTCTCTTGTCCCTGAACACGGCTTTCAGCTGTGCCCCCAACGCCTTCTCCTCGTACTCAACATGCACCAACCGATGCCACAATTATAAGCAGCGATGAGGGTGCACATGCTTGAAACATGTCACATAAAGCACACGACACGTTCCCACATCATCTCTCCCGCAGAGGAGGCAGCCCATGGTCCTAACCGAGGGTGAGAGCCATGCATAGGAGGGCGATGGGCCCCACGCCGCCCAGCTGGGGAAACCCCAGGGACAGGCCTGGACGCCAGGCCCTTGGATCCCTCCTCCTGCCCAGCCACCCAGCTCTCTTTGTGGTCATCCTGCGTCGTTTGTTGGGTCCCAGCGTGAGCATGGGAGAGAAACCAGGGGCCGCCCGCGGAGGCCCGGCGCTGACCGCAGGGCTGTCTGTGGCTCTCCGTCCGCAGGAGCTCTGTGCGTTTACTGATCCGTAAGGTGCAGCACGCACCACCTGCGATGGGTCCCCAGCCCCGGGCTGAGGCCACCTGGCAGTTCTTCAGGTCCGACAAGCCCCTGCACCTTGCAGTCTCCCTGAGCAAAGAGGTAACTTGCAGGCATCACTGCGTCCCGTGTGGGCGCACGCCCGGGGGACAGGCTGGGTCTCCGCGCCCTAACTGCTGTGGGTGGTCTCCAGGGACAGTTTAAGCAGCAGCGTTTGAGAACAGCTGGCTCTTTTTTCATCATTTGGACCTAGGAAAGGTGACCACTAGAATGGGGTCACACTGGCCTGGGTTCCACTCACTGTCAGTCCTGACCACCTGGCGGGGGGCGGGGTGAAGGTCACATACTCCGAGCCCAGGCTGTCTTTGCCCTCTCCCTGTCCCGTGGGCCTCATTTACTAGTGTGGCCCCAATGGATGTGGTATCGCAAACCATCTACTTCCCTGGAAAATTCAAGTTTCACTGTAACCACAAGGCGATGGCCGTGACGCAGGTGAATGTCATCTATGAAGTGTGTCTCAGAAAAAAGGTGACGAACCTCCGGCCGAGGCTGTCTCTGGCCCCTCGGGTCACCGAGAGTCATGCACTCATGTTGGCCAGCATGTTTGCTAAATACTCCGTGTGCACGTGGGCGTGGGCCTGCATGTGCACGGGCACACCTGTACACCCTCCTGGGACCCGGTTCCCCGGGCACCGCCGCCGCGGAGGGCTCTGCCCCGGGCTCCCCACCGGCTTCCTCCCCGGCTTCCTCCCGTGTCGCTCGTCCTGCCCCAAATAGCCTTGTGACTCCACTCAAGACCCCAGGGCTCATTCTGCGGCGACCTCAGGGCCTGGGCACCCCCGCAGGAGCACCCTGGCCCCGCCTCCCACGCGTGCCTGATTACCACTCAGCGCCCTCCAGGGGGCGCCCGCGGCGGTCACAGCGTCTTCCTCGGAAGCACAGGAATCCAGCCCCGTTTACCCTGTTAAGAGGTTGTGACGGATTTTTAAGCCACGAGATGAAAGATACCGCCTCACCCTGTTCCCCTCTGCTGACTTTTCTGCTCACTTTTCAGATCTACTTCCACGGAGAACCCATTCCTGTGACCGTGACTGTGACCAACAACACAGAGAAGACAGTGAAGAAGATTAGAGTGTTAGGTAGGACCTTCTGCTCCAAGCTGGAGGGCAGAGTCTCCCAGAATTTCTCAGTCTGGTCCTGTTTCCAGAAGGTCTGTCCTCTGGTGGGGAAAGGCCCTCCCTGGACCTTGGAGCCACCTGTTGGCCTCTGTTGTCATGCACGGCAGGACCTCTGAGCGAGGAAAGCCCTTTGGTGTCATCGCATCCACCCGCATGCCCAGCTTGGGGCTGCCTTGGGTCTGGGGTCAGCATCCTGACAGGTGACCTCCTGTCTTCCACGTTGAGGGGGCCCCAGGCCAGGTCTCGGGGCAGCCGGGACAGGAGTTTTCTCCGCGGACCAGTGACGAGTTGGGAAATCACGGCCTGGGGACACAGGGCTTCTTCGTGGGCTCTGCTGCGTGTGTCCCCCCGGAAGGCACCGCCTCTGCGGCAGGGCTCCTGGTCTGCCTTCCTGGGCTTTGTGAGGGGCTGGGGGTCGGTTGCACGTGGAAGTGCTCTGTGAACGGTAAAGTGCTACTGCTGCCGGTCCTGTTGAATCCCCACAAGGTGATGGCTACATACCGCAGGGGGAGCGCCTCCCGCTTGCTCTTCCTACGCTCCCTCAGCTCAAGGGGCGTCAGCGTGCAGGGGGGTGGTCTTATATGGCTACATAAAGAAGACAGGACAGAATGGCCTGGGAGGGACACCTCCAAGTTCCCTGCTGACTCAAACGTGTGATGACCAAGACAAAGTTCGACTTAGTGTATTAGGGTGACCAATGATCCCAGGTCACCCAGGACTTTCAGGGCTGAAACAGGGCCAGTCCCAGGCAAACCAGGACAGTTGGTCACCCTACGTGTCATGTACCACTCTCCTCTGTCCCCATGTGTCCCTCATAGATAAGGTTCAGGAATTTTGATGCATACATACCTAAAGAATTCTAGATTTTTCCAAATGCTAACATGAATGCTTAATTTACTGCTCTGTTTTATGTTGGTTTAGTTAATATGCCTTTAAGTCTGTACAGGACCTGGTTTATTTAATATGAGGTATATAGTGCTCAACATAAGTAGAAGGATTGTTAAAGTATCATTTGGTACTTTGATTAAAATTATTTCTCAAAGTTTTATAATTCCTAGCATCAATGCCATTACTTTTTGAAAGAAGCTGTTGAATTTTCTGAAGATATTAATAGCTTTCCATAGGCTGAGCTCTGTGCTCAGTGCTTCAAACAAATTTTCTTTTAATCCTCAAGTTTGATTTTAATGGAGGTAAAAATTACTGTTTCAATCATCACAACATCCATTTGAGTTTGATGCCATTATCACCCCCGTTTTGCTGGACAGCAGCTTGAGGCTCAGAGGAGCTAAGTAACTCACAGCTGAAGGCTAAGCTGGGGTCTGAGCCGAAGTCACGTGGCTCCAGAGCCCACCTTCCCGTCCAGGCCGCGTGGCTTCCAAATGGTTTGTCTCAGGCACCCTGAAGGGGGCGCTTGTTCTTTGAGACAGAAGGTGCTGGAAGGGGGTGGGTTTGGAGGAAGAGAGCCCGTGGTGACTTCTGGATGCTGGTAGATTGGGAGGACACCAGGGGCTTACCAGGGGCTCAGCAGAGAGGAGGGGCCTCCCCAGGGGTGCAGTTTCAGGGGACTGGTTCATGGGTACAAGCTGTCACAGAGCTGGCGGCCTCAGGAATCCCAGCCTTTCAGTTTTGAGCTGAGAAAGCCGAGCCTGAGACGCGTGAGAGGAAGACCAGCCGCGCCTCTGGAAGGCCGGGCGACACCAGACACATGCGTGACTAACCCGCCCCTGTCCTCTCTCTGCAGTGGAGCAGGTAGCCAATGTGGTTCTCTACTCGAGTGACTATTACATCAAGCCTGTGGCCGAGGAGGAAGCACAGTGAGTAACTGTTGGGTTCCTGCTTCCTGGGCGGCCCAGCTTCTTTGCCAAGTTCTCCTTTTGTGCTCAGCTGGCTTGCCAGCACTTCACTCCCTCCCCCTTTACCCATTTCCAGAGCTGCAGAGAAGGTTAGCACTGCCTTCGCGGCCTCCCTCTCAAGGGTTCTGAGAGGTTGGTCGAGCTAAGACGCTATGGAGAGCAGGGGAGAAAGGACGGTGGGGGTGGCTGGACCGTCCAAGCATCCTTGGAATACATTGCCAGGAACTTGATACTATTCCTCTCCTCCGCGCCCCTCCCCCCAGCAGATAATCAAACTATCTGTCAGCCCAAGGAGATTCTCTATCTTTTGATCTTCTCAGTTTGAAAATCTCATACCAATGACAAGTAGATTAGCACAGCGGGTCAATTATCAGCCCATTGTGGCGGATGACTTTTCTCCCTTTATTAGAACCAAAACCAACTGGGAATTCCGAGTTGGCTTCTTCTGGGGGGGGGGGGGGGGGGAGAGAAACCTGCCCATTTTTGCTTTGTGCTAGGCAGGCAGATAGAGCCATTAAGCACACAGGCTTCTGGGGGTCAGCCCCCTGCAACCCCCAAGAGGATCTGTCGGGGGAGGTCTCTGTCTAGTTGCCATGTTCTAAGTGCCGATGGATGCAAAAAAAAATCACTACGGTTAGAGGAAGGGGTTGGTGAGGAAAGACAAACGGATTCAGCAAGATAATATCGCCGACTATTTAGAAGGCAACTTGGGGGTAGACTGTTACCCCAAGCAGATCCAGCGGGAGGCAGGAAAGAAGCATAACTCGCCACGCCTCCGGGCGCCAGGCCCGGCCCCTCAGGCTGCCTCCCTGCACACGTGTCCCAGCAGCCTCGCTGGTTCCCCCGCTGGGGGTGCCCAACAATGACAGCAGAGAATGGTCCTCTGCTGAGTTTCCCCTAATATACCCTCTAATCTGGTCCTCTCTTCGGCTCTTGGTACAGTTTGGACCTAGTGATTCCCAGGAAACTGGGAAGCAATTTAGAGCCTTCTAAGGGTGGCAGGGAGATTGACAGCTGGGTGGGACCGAGCTGGCAGGTCTCAGCCCAGAAGCCACTCAGAAGGCTGCCGAGCATGGCCATTGTCCCTGAACCCTGGCCCTGGCTCCCGGGGCCCTGGTGGGCGGGCCTCCATCCGTCCAGGTCAGACCGGGCTCTGCAGTGGCTGCCCACCACCACCCCATCCCAGCTCCTGGAGGGCCTAGGAAGCGGCCTCGCGGCGGCAGGAGAGGCTGTCCCCCGTAATGTTTGCTTTTGTCAGTCTGCCGCCCAAACCAGCTCGTTAAGAGAGGTTCCCCCAGGGCCCAGGTGGGAGGGTGTGGGCCATCTGGCGCTCTAGCAGAACCCGCGGGGAACACGCCAGGAGCCTCCTGCGCACGCGGCAGGCGGCAGAAGCCACGGCTGCCTGGAACTCCAGAGGGGCCTCGCCCAGGGAAGCCCTTCCACAGTGGCAGTTCAGACTCCCAGCCCGTCTGAAGGCAGGGCCCAGGCTGGCTCCAGGCGGTGTTTCCAGCGCCATGCCCCAGTGTCCCCTGGCCTGGGACAGGAACGGAGGGTGTGTGGGCAGCATGGACACAGTCCGTGGGCTCCCCTGGGCTCTGCAGTCCTAGAGGAGGTGTGGCTGTGTGCCGGGCGCGCTTCCCGGATAGCAAAGGGGAGATCCTGAGGGCGCCTCCTCGGCGGCAGGGTGGGCGGGGTGAGGCGCAGGGCCCTCGGACGGACGGCTGTGCGTGGCCTGGTGTCCGCACGCGGGTGAGCGGCAGAGCCTCCTCTCCTGCCTCAGAGGCCAGAGAAACCAGGCTGCTGTGTCCCCAGCTGCATTGCAGATCCACGCTTTGATATGGGGCCCCTGCGTCTGTCAGGTGCCGTGAAACCCCCCACGAGACTGGTGGCAAAGGAAATCGGGACCATGTGCTGCTCTGAACTCAAACCAGTGCAGTCTGTGCTGTTCACAGATGGAGGACCCCTCCTTGCCCATTCTCAATAACCCCCCACTGTGGGTGCACGCAGGCCTCTCTCAGAGTGACAGTTTTCGGTAACAAGTGACTTCTTGCCTGGGCTTGTTGCTGACACTGGCCAGATGGCCCTGCGGCCAACCATGTGGTTCCCAGTCTCAGGAAGAGTGAGGCGTGGTCCCTGACCCTTGGGCCAGTTGGTCTCATTTAACCCCACAGAACGTGCTAGAAATTCAGCGATTAAAGCAGGCCAAGGGACTTGAGGAAATGTCGTAGTCTTGCTGGCAGCCTGCTTTGAGATGTCAGTAATACTCCTCTGCCTCTCGTCAGGCAAATGCACGGGCACCTGCACTGTCCAATGAGTCGCAGGGAACTCAGATCCCGGGACATCTTGATGGCAGAGAGGGGCTCCTGAGATCGACGGCAGCTTCACGGCTCTAAGAACAATTAGCCAAACCTCCTCTCTGATTTTCTTCCTGCAGAGAAAAAGTGCCACCAAATAGCACTCTGACCACGACACTGACGCTGGTGCCCTTGCTGGCCAACAACCGCGAACGGAGGGGCATCGCCCTGGACGGGAAGATCAAGCACGAGGACACAAACCTCGCCTCCAGCACCATGTGAGTCCCCGTAGCTCAACAGACGAGCCCCTGAGACTCAGTACAGCGGGCGCAACAACCACCGCATCAACTGTGGCTCATTGCACATGTAAAAACTGTGTTATGGTTTATGGAGTATTTTACAAACATGCGAGTCTGTCTGTACTTTTGTGAGGAAGGTAGATTTCTACCCATATGAAGAATGAAGAAATTGAGGTTCAGCCCGAATGAGAGGCTTGTCCAAGGTCCCTGGCCAGCGAATGGCAAAGTCCACTCCTAACCCTGAGCCCTGGCTTCGCCCTCAACTTCAGGGCTGCCATCTAGGGTCCTAGAAAGTGACAACTGCAGCGGAACCGGATTAACCGACCTGTGCGTGTGCACACACGTGTGTGGGAGAGCCACTCCCCCTGCGGGAAGAGGGCGGGGAGAGGCTCGCAGGGTGCTGTCAGTCACGTTCTCTTCCCTGGCTCTACAGCCCGTTCTGTCCAAGGCAGAGAGCCAATTCCAGCAGAGGGTGGGGTCTCGGGCGTGCATCCCCCCCGGGTTTCCCTTTGGTGGCAATGCCCGTCCACCGAGTGCTCACCACATCCCACGATTCCAGATAAAGGCACTTTGCCCTTTTTAGGGACCTCTGGGCCCCAATGAGCCGATGACATTACCTGGGAGCATTGGGATCCTGGAAGCCATGTCCAAGGCGCCCCCCCACCAGAAGACTCCTTGGGCTGGGGGTCTCCTGCAGGCCCAGAACCTCAGTCCCCCCGCTTAGCACCCTTCTCAGGCCTCAGCGCAGCCCTGCCCTGCCTTCTGTCCCACGCCTTCAGGCCCCTTGGCCATGTTCTCGATCGTGAATCACATTGTCTTAGCTAGTATTTCATAATATTTTTATGCCTCAATTCTTGTTATTGGACATCCTGAAACACTTACGTTTCACACTGGATCCCACGAGATAGCAACCAGCCTGGTGCCTGTCGGACAGGAGGGGCTCGGTGCGCGTGAGTGGGACCTGGGACAAAGCTTCCATCGAGGCCGGCGAGGCCACAGTCTCTTTGGGGCATGTGTGGTGGCCTCACACAGCACGTCCATTCACTGCAACACGATGCTGGTGCTGGGGACGCGGAGTAGGAACACACAGGCAGGAGGCCCGTGCCTGGCGGGGGGTCAGGAGGCTTCACAAAGGAGGGTCAGCTTCAGCTTGGGGTCTTGGGGGGCAGAGGAGGAGGGCATTAAGGAGCAGGTTTGTGTTTGGCAAGGCTGGCCCACAGGGGACCCTGGGGCACAGCAAGGTATGAGGTGGCAAAGGCAGACAAAGGGCAGCACCCAGATCACCTGCCCCGCCACGCTTGGACTGGACCCTGGAAGACCTGTCTGGCCACAGAGCAGCAGAGAGCTCAGGGAAGGAACTTGGCCCATGGGACGTAAGGCATTGAGATAACCCAGGCAGGAAAGGCCTGCAGAGGACGCAGTGGCCAGCCAGCGATGGCAGGCGGGACAGTGGGAGGGCCGAGGAGGACAGGGTTTCTGGCGGATGAGCAGGTGGGTGAGCACCCACGGAGGCAGAGCAGGGAGAACCAGGAAGCACGGCCCATCCCTGAACTTCCAGAGGGGAAAACGGCAAGCTACAAGCAGGAAAGGCATCCCCTGGCCTGAGGAGGGCCAGTTCTATGGCTCCAATGGCTTGGCTGGGTTCGCTAGCCCCTTGGGAAGACGCCCCCATGACGGTGCGCCTGCGCGGGGACGAGGGGCCGGCTTGGCCAGGCCTTGCTTTCCGCGGCCCCCTGCATCCCTCTGCTTTTCCTCTTTTTGTGCAGCATCAAAGAAGGCATAGACCGGACCGTGCTGGGCATCCTGGTGTCGTACCAGCTCAAGGTGAAGCTCACGGTGTCGGGGTGAGTGTCCGAGGCCCCCTGCTTGGTCTGGCCTGCCTTGGCCTTTGGCTGAGTTGTTTCCTTCTTGAATGAGGAGGCAGAAAGCACAGGAAGGGACACTAATTCCACCAATCACCAAGTAGAGTTTTAGAGACGCCATTGGTCTGGTTTCACAACTCCTTCTGATAGAACAGCACATGGAAAAAGGTAGAAAAGCAGACGACGAAATACGCGCACTGCTGGTACCACTTGACAAGGGTGGGTGTGGGTGCGCCTGTGCTCACGTGGGGCAAGGTGACGTGCAAGAAAGGACAGTCGGTTTAATGTGCTGAGCTTCAGGAAAGAATGGCGGCTATGGGGGGGGAGGCATCCGTCCCGGGGAGAGGCCTTCCTTCCCTTCCTGTCGCTTCCCAGAGTGGAGCCTCAGGGCAGGGGAGTCTCCTCGTCATACGAGAGCCCAGGTATCTCAGAGTTCTGAGGAGATGGTTTACCATTTTTTAATGAAATGAAATTTTTCCACTTTGTAAACCTCATCAAAAGGGAAACCCTTATATTCTCATTTTCCTTGTCAAATTCTGTTGCCAATGGCTCTGGCCGCTAACCTCGATGAGCCTTGGATCGTTCAAGCATCAGGCGTATAGTCTGTAATTCTGAGTAGATAAAGAGTTGCCCAAAGCCTGTCTGGGGCGACGAAGTAGAACACGGGTTGATTTTACAAATTTTATTAACAGTGTTTGTACTTGTGTTTTTTCCAAAGTGTAGGATGTTTTCTTTCGTTTTCTGGAAGAGGGTGTAGTGCAGGGCAGTGTTCCTCTTAGCCGTCAGGATAAGTGAGTAACAGGTATTTCACAACTGTAGCCAAGAAAGAAGCTCAGGGGTGTGGTTTACTCTGGAACACCAGGGCTGGAACCTCAGTGACGCCTCCTTTTAACTAACCCGCTTGAGAAAGACAGGAAAGCACAAGCAGAGAGGGAGCGTGCAGTTGAACACCAAGGGATGCACATGTCCCGGTGGCTGTGAGTGGGGGACGGGGCTGGGACACGCCCCATCCCCAAGGCACAGCAAGTAGGGCCCTGCTGTCACTGGGGGTGGTCACTGCAGTCCTGTTTGCTTTTGTTTCCTAGCTTCCTGGGAGAGCTCACCTCCAGGTAAGCCGCGTCGCCTTCCTTCTCCGCGTGACTCCCAGGATAGCAAAGGAACAAACCCGGGGTTCAGCACAGTAGCAGGGCAGCCTAGGCTCCCGGCCTCAGGCTCCGAGCCGTGGCGGGACCATATCCACTGCCTCTCGGTGCATCGTGCAGACCCCGGCAGAGAGGGGTGGGGCCGGGGTGTTTCTTTGAGACCATAGCTGGGCTCCCACTTGGGGAGGACACACGCACATCGGCACCCAGGGTATACTCCCTGCCGCTGCCTTTGTGTGCGTGTTCGATAAAATGCATGTTCAGTGGCATCGGGCGTATTTACAGTATTTTATTATTGTTACCATTGTCAAATTCCTGTGCTTTTTGACCACCCCCAAGAAAACCGCATACCTAGTAAGCGGTTTTCTCCCTCCCCTTCTCCCCTCTCCCTGGTCCCTGGCAACCACTCATCTGCTTCCTGTTTCTATTGACTGGCTTTTTCCGATGTTTCACCCGCATAGAGTTAGACAACATTTGTGCTTCGGCGTCTGGCTTCTCTCTCCCAGCACGCCACTTTCTAGGTTCGCCCTGTGGCGGCGAGGGTCAGTGCTTCACTTCTTCTTATGGCTGAACAGTGTTCCATTGTGCGGGGAGGCCCATTGTGTTTACCTGTTTGTCTGCCAACCAACACCTGGGTTGGTTCCACCTGCTTGCTGTCGGGAATAGCGGCAGCTACCTCTCGCTTCATGCGCAAAGAGGCCGCGGGTGAGGCAGGTTGGAGGCAGGCCCTAAGCTTCAAGCTCCTTCACCCTGATGCTCACCACCCCCTGCCCTCACGTGGAACCCAGGGCGCCCCGCTTCTCCTAGTCCCTGTCTGTGCATCTGTGCTGGAGCCTGACAACAATGGCCCTGTTAACGTGCGCTTTAACCAAAGTGGCATGGGGGTGGGGGGGGAGGGGAGGGGGAGGGGTCTCGGGGGAGGGGGAGGTGTTGGGTCCCCAGTGAAGCAAGGAGTAACACATGCGCACGTGCACACACGTGCACCCCACCTTTCCATTCCCCCCCTCTCCAGATCTCCCTGCTCCTTTCCTTCTTGACTCCTGTCCTTCTTTCTTCTTGTATAAATTCCAAGTTGCCCCAAAGCCCTCTAGCTTCTGGAATTTGGCAGGCTCTTCATCTCTAGCAAGAGACTGTGCTCCTGGTCCCCAAAACACGAGCCTCCCATTGCTTTAACATAAAAATCATGTACAGTTTTGCAAAGGATATCTTTCTTTTTTAAAAAGATTTTATTTATTTATTTTTGGGAAGAGAAGGAGAAAGAGAGGGAGAGAATCATCAATGTGTGAGAGAAACATCGATCAGTCGCCCCTCACCACCCCGCCCCCCCGCCCCCCGCCCCCCGCCCCCCCCCCCCCCCGCCCCCCGGGGACCTGGCCAGCAACTCAGGCATGTGCCCTGGCTGGGAATTGAACAGGACCTTTCAGTTTGTAGGCCGGTGCTCAATCCACTGAGCCACACCAGCCAGGACAGGATGTTTTTCAAAACTGTCCTCTTCCTACCTGTCCTTTACCATGATATCATGTCACTGAAACTCGCAACCAGGAGGAAAGGCACCTGAAAAGGGCAGCCTCCTCGGGCCGTGCGGAAGTGAAGTAGTCCCTGGGCCACCTGCGGGGGGTGGGGGTGGATACATTTAAAATTCCTGCGTGCCGCCCTCCTGGCTTCTGGGGTGTTTTGTCCTGCGTCTCACGGAGTCCTGCGTGATTTATAATTGTGCGCCTGTCCCCACCGATCTGCATGCCTCTTTTTTGTAGCCAAGTGGCCACCGAGGTGCCGTTCCGTCTCATGCACCCCCAGCCAGAGGACCCAGGTCAGTCCTCCGTTGTCCTGGCTTTCTCTGGTCACTCACTGTTTGCAGGCGGGTTACGTAGTCACTGCTGGTCCTTCCTGACCACCTCCGTGAGCATGGGTGTGGCCATGTCCTCACCCTCAAGGTGCCCGGGGGCCCTGGGACCCGAGCTCCCCGCTCAGTCCTGGGCCAGGCACCGGCCGCCCTCAAGGAATGGGGGGAAGACCCCGCAGCCCTGAGCTCAGCTGAGGCGGGCACACTCATTAGGTGTTACGAGGACTGATTTAAAAGCAGGGGTTTCTCCCGTGAACAGACCCTGGGTTTAGATTTAAAGCAAGTTCAGGTGAGAAATAAATGCGAAGTCTGAGGCCTCGGCGTTTCAACTGGAAACATCGGCAGGCCTCCGGAGGGGAGTGTTTTCGACAGTGGAGACAGCGATGAGAAGATGGAAAGCCCTAGACAAGAGGGTCTGGCTGGGGTCCTGTCAACGTGGCTCCTTTGAAATGGAAACCCACTGGCTCCTGTACGGATGCTAGAAGGAAATGAGGTGGTTTGTGCGGCTCTGAGTGCTGTAAAACGGACTGTACATGTCAGCGGTGAATCGCACAGCGTGTGGGTTAGATCTCGGCAGGGCCCTTTTAAAGAAGACTAATGAAGCAGCACAGTTAGTACAGGTGCCGCCTGGAAATTCCAAGAAACGTTCTCCGCTGTGTGTGAAGTGGCTCAGTTCTTAGGGACTCTCATAGTTAGAGCAATAAAGAATATTTTAAGTCAAAGTGGTGCAAACAGGTAGGGTTTCTCTTTCTATTATACTTTATATCTAGCTTTTTTAAAAATTGATAATGAAATGGCATTCAAACAGTAGAATGCCCCCAGATTTATTTGGGTTTGTCTCAAAATTATTTTGTTTCCAAGTATCTTTTCCAAATAGTTTGGATTCAAATGCTCAGTGGATTTTGCCAGAACTTCCCCCCTGGGGGAAACATACAGTCTAGCCGTGTTTATTTTATTCACTTATGCTTGTGTCATTAAAATACTATTTTTGAACTATTTGAGAGTGAGAGGCATTCTGGTCTCTTTCAAGGCCATTTTCAGAGGTTATTTTAAAACTATGACCTCAGGAGATGTCACAGTGTATGTGGAATTGTCTGCAGCCGTGAACAGACTTGAGGGCTGAGCTGGGGGGAAGTGGCGATATTCCTCTTCTGGGGATGACATTTTCATGTCGCAGTCACTCTGGGCTGTAGATCGAACATATCACACATCCAGACTCAGCAATGATCTTCGGTGCCGTGAGATTTCAGGGAGAAAGGACAAGTCGCCCCACGGCTTCGCAGTTCTGATTTCCAGGGATTTATGGGTCACTCGGCTTTCTTCACGGGTGCGTGCTCACGCCTTCCCTGCCTGGCCCCTGCTCCCTGGCTGGGATGGTAGACTTCAAGCAGCGGAAGTGTTAAGTTGTGGCTGAGAAGCTCTGCAAGGGCCAGGGGCCAAGTAATTTGTGTGTAGTAAGCGCTGCACAAATGCTACCAAGCTTTTATTGTCCCCTGTCAAGAGCATCCACACGGAACGCAGGGCGTTGATTGGTCCCAGTTAGTATAATTTTATGCTTAGCGCTGTGGGGGTCCAGGAAGCTTCTGGCCCAGGGGATGTTTTGATGAGTCAGCCTTTCCGTAGGTTTCCTGTGGTTAACAGCCCACACAGCCACTTCCCTCCCAGGGCTGGCTTCCAGGTGGGCACGAGAGACAAGCGCAGTGGCTTGCCATCAGCTCGGTGCTCCCAAGGAACCATCTGGAGTTGTTTAGCCTCGCTTAGCTCTTCCTGGCTCACCACCGAGGGTTATAGCAGTCCTTTACTGGGGAGGCAGAAAGCTGAAAAAGAACAGCAACAAAAAACGGCTCAAATTAAGAGCAGTTAATCGGGGCCGCAAAGCATACATGGAAGTATAACCCAACAAAATAAAGATAGTGTGTTAACAGAGAAATGGAACCCTGAGGGGCTCGGGGTGATGGGCAGGCATGAATCCCAGACTCGGCCTTCGAGAGCCAGACGCGCGAGGTTCGAGGCGGTCGAGCCTGGGTCCTGACGGTGCCTGGCAGACTCTGATCTAGACGGGGTCCAAGGGACACGCAGGGAGAGATGCTTTGAGAGAGAAGCACGACATCAGAGGGAGCGAGGCAAGGCAGGGAAAGGGTCCTGGAGGTGAGGCTGTGGCCCTTTATAAAGAAGCGCAGGCAGACGGGCTCTCCAAGGGGAGGAAGGCAAAAAAGCAGGAACTCCACTATTGTGACAGGTGCACCTGGGCCTTTTATCCCTCCGATGAGGAATCACTAAACAAGGGAGGCGGTTTCCAGGTAGAGCTGTTGTGTAGGATTTATGCTAATCTCTCTCTCTCTCTGTCATTCCATGCCACAGCCATGGCCAAGGACGGGTGAGCCGCTGCCCCATGCTGCCCTGTGTTCTGGTTTTCACCCGGCACAAAAACGCCTTTTTCGGTCATTTTGCACACACCCCATGCGCTTGACACAGGGTTGGCCCCTGGTGTTCCTTTTATCTTCTGGTGCTAAGACATAACACACGCACAAAACACAGGTGCACTTGCACATACTCAGGTACATGCACACATGCATGCACACGCGCGTGCCCGCCCACGCAGATGTACTGGGAATGTATGCCTGCTCTGTGGGGTGTCTCCCTTCTCTGTTAAAGAGATTTTCCACAAACAGCTATGAGGAGAAGGGCGCGGTCCCATGTTCCATCACACAGGAAATTCTTCATCAGTTCCTTTGTTGCAAAAGGAAGATCTAGGATCGTTTTTTTTAAATTTTTTTTATTGTTGTTCAATTACAGCTGTCCCCATTTTCCCTCCATTACTCTCCCCTGCCCTATCCACCCCACCCCACATTCAATCCTCCCCCCTACCCATTGTCCTTGTCCGTGGGTCCTTTACACATGTTTCTTGATGACCCTTTCCCTTCTTTCTCCCATTTTTCTCCCTCCCCCCGCCCCTCTGGTCACTCTGTTTGTTCTTTATTTCCATGTCTCTGGTTCTATTTTGCTTGCTTGTTTGTGCTGTCTTGTTTCACTCGAGATTTCATTGCAAGCTTCAGAATGTGCCACGATCAAAATGTTCTTTGTTTAACTTCAGCTTTCAGGATGAAAATTTGGTTTTTGAGGATTTTGCTCGCCAAAATCTGAAAGACTCAGGAGATCCCGATGAAGGGAAGAAAGACCAGGAGGCACCTGCGGATGAGTGAAGAGGTCGCCGAGGACGTGGGAAATGGGGTTCTGGCAGCACGATGAGCAAAGCTCCACAGTCAGCCTTCAGTGATGCCAAATACTGAAGCGGGAGTCTCTTCCCAGAAATAAAGTTGGTCTGTTCTGCCCAGTCCTGAGTCCGGCTGGCTTGCTGGGGAGGCTGAGCGACACAGCTGGCATGGCGGCAGCGGCAGCGGCAGCAGCAGCTAGGGCCCCTGAGACCCGGGTGGGGAAGGGCAGCACCCAGGGAGCAGGCCCGCCCTCCATGCAGGGGTGCTGCACGCGTCCTCGGAAGTGAGAAGGCGGCAGAAGCTGATGTGCTCACCCTTGGGGCGTGGTGTGTCCTGGCCGTTCTCCCCGGCTCCTGTGTATGCCGTTTCTCTGGAAATATATTGGGGCGGGGGGGCAGTGTTTCTGATGATGTGACCGATTGTAGCGGCAGAACCCCAAAAGGGACTGTGGAGATCAATGCGACTGGGAGGGCAAATGTGGGCGCAACACACTCTGTTGCCGATTCAACTTTTGGGGCCGAGTCCCTGTTGGAGCTGTGGGTTGTTGGTTAGGTTTCTAAGGAATACAAGCAATAAAATCAGATTTGGCTAGTTTAATAGGGGAAAGGACCCTTGAAGGACCTCGGAGTGGCTCAGAGAACCAAATTAAAGGACGAACCTGAGCTGCCCAGGTTGGGCAGAAACCGGAGAGGCTCCAGGGATCCCCACCGTTTACCCAGAGTGAAGGCTCCGCACCGGGCGCTCCTGGTCTCGGTCCGGTGGGTCAACGCCCGTGGCCAACGGTGGCAGAGCCCTGCCCTAAGAACAGGTTGTCCCAGGAGGGGGTTTGTTGTGAGCCTGCCGGGCTCCTTGGTTAGAGTGTCTCCATGGAGACTGGGCGTAGAAGGGGTGGGAGGGGAGGGTGCTCTGTGTCAGGGAGGAAGGAGGAGCTGCGGGGGGAGAAGGGATAACCGAGGTGGCGCCAGGGCCCTGTCCTTCATGGGGTCCCCTTCCTGGCCCGCGCTGCCCACCAGCCTGGGGGCCTGCTACCGACGCGGAGGGACCAAATGGCTCTGTTGTGGCCCAGAGGGGATTGGGGGATGTGCAGGCGCTGGCCCATGCTCCAAGGAGCAGGATAAAAGGGGTTTAGAGAGTTCTGCACAGTTCCACCCACCCCCAGGAGGCTGGAGTGGGGACAGGAGGAGGTCGCATGAGGTGTGGACACCTGGGGCCCGGGGTCCAGCACCAAGAACAGTGGCAGAGGGCTGGACGGCAGTGTGCGTTCTGGGCACATGAGGTCGCCCACAGCTGGGGTTGTTCAGCAGGATGCCAGGCGGGTCTGTGTCCTGGGGCCTGGGATTTAGACCAGAGGCTCCACTTGGGGACTTTGGACAGGAGCCTACCCATGCACAGCCAGGTTGAGTCTGTGGCATTCTGAAATTGCCAGGGATGAACATTCATTCATTTCTGGAGGAATAGTAATGATGACAATAGTGCAGGTGAAGACTGGGCATTTGGCCTGTGGGTTTGCAGAGTTGGACACAGTTTCTTTGTTTTTCTCCTGTGCTAAGGGAAGACCACGCGACCCCTCCATCCCACGCCTCCCGCCCACGCCCCTCTGTCAGTAGACCTAGGAAAGGGATGACCAGGGCCGCATGCTCCTCTGGGGGCCTGAGCCCTGCCCCTGCCCTCCGCCCCGCTTCCCCGCAAAGCCCAGAAACCAGCTGTGGTTGGCTCTGCTGAAGATCCTGGACCAGCCAGGGACAGGAGTCTGCCTGGGAGTGCCTGCTGGTTCCTGCATTGCCTGACCCCAGGACATCCTAAGTCAGGGTGGACGTTAATAGGCCTGACCTTTGGAACTGTGTGGGTGGGAGAGCTGGACAGAAGAGCCGGCAGGCCAATCCCTGGAGACCAGAGGTCAGAACAGCCCTTGGCCTCTGGGTTATTTTGGTACGAGAATGCCTGACTTGCGGATTTCCAGGTGCTGGCTAGTTTATGGCCTGCAGTTGGCCACCCTGGGAGGGCGTGGGGGTGGGAGCAGGAAGTGAGCGGCTGGCCAGCCCAACGGGATGTGGAACTCGGCCTTGGCTGGGCCTGCACATGCGTGGCGTGGTCTGCTGGCGTGCTCCTTGGTGTCGCAGGCAGGATGTGTGTGTGTGTGTGGGGGGGGGCTGGAGGCGTGGCCCAGGGTTTCCCAGGTACGTGCGGTGGAGGAACAGTGTACAAAGGAGTTGCGGGTGCTGCATTTTGAGAAAGTGGTGGCTGAGAGCTTGGGACAATGTTCTGCAATGACAATCACGGGCTGGAGAAGTAGGGACCCCTGCTATCTACTGAGCACCTGCCTTGTGCTGGGCACTTCCCATATTCCGTCTCGTCATCTCAATAATGCCTGTAAGTCAATGTTGTCATCCATTTATTGGATGAGGAAACTGCAGTTCAAAGAGATTGTGTACCTCACCCAAGGCTGCACAGCTAGACACAGTCAGAGTCAAGATTTGAACTCTGGATTCCCTGAGTCTCTAACCAGACCTTTGCTCACCTTCTGATGCTGAACAAGCAGACAAGAGTTTGGAAGGTCAGAGGGGGAGGTTAGCATTTATGATTCACATGCAGCTGTTCCCCAAGGGTAGCATCCTGCAAAGCTGGAGTACGCTGTCCTAACCAGGATATTGACGCCGGGACAATCCCCCGATCTTAGACGTCCCCAGTTTGACTTGTATGCGTGTGTGTGTTTAGTTCTCTGCAGTTTATCACATGTGAGGTTAACATCTTTTTAGAGTATCTGTTTTCCCACTCCTTCCACATTTTCATCGTTCTCCTCCCGGTCTATTGTCACAGCCTTAACAGTTTAGTTCCCTGATCTTGCGAGTGGGGTAGACGGGGCATTGGCACGTTTGGAAATGTGTGGGGTGGCTCAGGTTGCCACCATGCCTGGGGGCCAGGGAAACTATATGGCACACATGGTGAAGAAATGTCCCCTTTCACATGCCAGTCATAACCCTGGTTCAGAAGAGAAAAAGATCATCGCCCTGTTTTCAAGCGCATTGTTTTTCTCCTCCAACGGGAAGCAGTTCTTTTTGACAGGAGGTACGCTCCTATGTTGACAAGTCAGGAAGAAAGATTAGGTCGGATGTGAAGTGTGTTATTACTGCCACCTTGATATGCCCGTAAGGGGGGGTAAAGTCAGGGAGCAGCATGTTGTTAGCGATGATTCACGGCATGACTCATGCCATGAAGTGGCACCGGAGAGAATGTGCCCTCACAGGCCGGCCGCCCCGGGGAGGCCTCCAAGGAAACGGCGCCGTGGCCGCCGAGCAGAAGGGCTCCTTCGCTCCCTCGCTCATCAGCGACCTATTCCGGACTTCTGTGTCTCTGACTTCAGAACGTAACATAATTCTTACCACGCCTAATAAAGTTTTAAAAATTACACACTTTATTTTCAAAGAGTTTTAGATTTTCAGGAAAATCGCCAAAGAGTACAGCGAGGTCCCCCACATGCGTTAGCCCTATTGTTAACATCTGACACGCAGAGGCTACCTGAGCCACACATAATGAATTTACATTGACGTATCATTATTAAATGAAAGCCCATTCTGTGCCCAGATTTTCTTAGTTTTTACCCAATGCCTTTTTTTGTTCCAGGACCCTACATGATATTTAGTTGTCATGCCTTCTTAGGCTCCTCTTGGCTGTGACAATTTATAGCACTTTTTCATAACAGCAAATCTACTCCCATCCAGCCACAGTCTCTGACTTGCATTCACGTTCATGCCCATGGCTTTTTGCCTTTAAAATGATGGAGCCTAGAGCCCAGAGAGCCCCGGAGCTTCTGGTGGGTGTAGGCAATAGCGCACCCAGAAGCCTCTAATGCAGTTTGTTCTAAACTAAGTTCATCTCCCTCACCTCCTTCAGGCCTGCTTGTGCTCAGTGGGGCATCGTGCCCTTGATACTCCCCCTCCCACCCCCGCCGCTGCCCCGGGAGGCATCCCAGCTAGCCCTGCCCCCTTATTTCCTGACTAGGAGCAGCTGGTTGCTTCTCTTCCCACCTCTTCCGGGGCTCCTCCTGTCCCCACCTCCATGACCGACCACCGTGGTTCTGGCCCAAATCGGCCGTGCCTACACTGGTGCACCACTCTTTAATGCCCTCTCTGATTCTAGTCTTTTCTCTTCTGGATCATTGTCTGCCCAGACACACAAATCTGCTTTTCAAACACCCTTCAGTGGTTCCGTCCTGGGGGCAATGTCCTTGTCCCTGAGGACAGCACAGAGGCCGCTCCAGGTCCTTTTGCAGCTGCTTGATTCCCCGGCCTCCCCGCTCCACCTGGCTCACCAGCAAATCCCAAATCCCCCGAATCCCGTTATCCGCTCCACTTGCCTAATAGTCTCCTGCCTTCTTTGTGTCTGCCTGGAAAATTCTCTCTACCCCCTCGTCTTTCTGTTCACATCTCCAAACCTGCTGGGGTGACCCCTCTTCTGGAGAGTGTCCCACGAGTTAACTCTTCCTCTCCCCTTCAGTCCCCCCTTCCCAGGTTTTGCACTCATGTGTCACGCTACATGGTACGTAATTGATACAAAATGGCCAACTTCTGTGGGGATGAGGACACCCTTCCCTTTGCGCCTATACCTGTCTCCTGCAGCTGTCCATAAGAAAGTACCGCAGGTAGGGGCGCTTAAACAACAGAAATGTACTTCCTCACAGTCCTGGACGCCACGGTGTGAAATCAGGGTGTCGGCAGGGTCAGTTTCTTCTGAGACCTTTCTCCTTGGCTTGTAGCGGGCCACCTTCTCCCAGGGTCTTCATGGGTCTTCTCACTGAGGCTGTCTGCATCCAAATTTCTTCTTAGAAGGACGCCAGCCATCTTGGATGAGGGCCCATCCTAATGGCCTCCTTAATCCTAAAGGCCTGATCTGGGGGTTAGGGCTCCAACATATAAATGTTGGAGCTATTCTCTCCTCTTTCTTCTTACAAGCTCCTGAGGCCTCATATGGTCCAGGTTCAAGTCCTGCTTCTCTCACTCCTTTGGTAAGGTGCCTAGGCCTCAGGTTGCACAGTCCTTTTTTTGAAAAAAAATACTATTTATTTATTTTTAGAGAGGGGAAAGGAGGGAGAAAGAGAGAGAGAGAAACATCAATATGCGAGAGAAATATCCATCGCTTGCCTCTCACATGCTCCCAACCAAGGACCTGGCCCTACAATCCAGGCATGTGCCGTGACCGGGAATTGAACCAGTGAGCTTCTGGTTCATAGGATGAGGCCCAACCCACTGAGCTGCACCATTCAGGGAGCGGTCGCAGAGTCTTCATCTCCAAAATGAGACCACTGAACTTGCTCTGAGGGGCTCGTGAGAGGACTAGACTCGCTGGCCAAGTGTCTGGCGTGAGTCTGGTGGTCAGCACATGGGAGCTGTCACTGACCTCGTGCATTGTAGAACTTCTGCGAGGACAGAAATGTTCTTCGTTTGTGCCGTGTGGTGGCTTCAAAGCCACCAGTGGCTCCTGGGCACCTGAAATCTGGCTAGTGTTTGGAAATTTAATTTTTATTTTTTTGCAGAAAGTTATGGTTTTATTAAATACAAGGTATACACAATTTATTCCTTTCCTTCCCTGTGCAGCCTGGCATTGGGATTGGTGCCTGTGAGCACCAGCTGGGCCACTCCGTCCACAGTGGCTTCGCGGTTCTTTGAGGAGATGTTGGGAGCAACCTCAGCACAGTAAGACTTACTGCACATCAGCAGCACTGCCAGCTCCTTGGCATTGGGGACCAGGAACTTTTGAGAGCCACTGGGCAGCATGAGCCTTGTTTTCTTGTTGCTCCCATAACCAAGGTTGGACATCCAGATCTGGCCCTTGAATCTTCTGCGCACTCTGTTCTCAATACCCCTGGGATTCCACCAGTTCCACTCGATTTTGATGTATCAGTCTGACTGGTACCCGATGAACGCCCTGGTCCTCTTTTTGACAGTCTTGGTTTCACGAGGGGCCCGAGGGCAGCCGTGGTGCTGAGTAAGGAACGGTTGCCACCTCTGTAGGCAGCGCCAAGGAAGAGCTGGAAATTTGGTTTTAATTAATTGAAATGGAAGTAGCCACATGTAGCCAGCTGATGATTACAGTATCGGGCAGGGCAGCCCGGTACACCAGGGGCCCTTGGCTTGCCCCAGAGTGTTCCTGCATTAACTCCTGACCATGGCTATGAGTCCATTCCGCTGGCCATGTGCCCATGCTGGGTGCTACTCTGCGGCCCCTGGGTGTCTTCACTTGTTTTGCTTCTGGAAAGCATTGCCAAGTGCACTGGGGGCCAGAGAATGCTGACAGGCAGACCAGGGGCTCCTCTCGGCTGTGACAATTTATAGCACTTTTTCATAACAGCAAATCTACTCCCATCCAGCCACAGTCTCTGACTTGCATTCACGTTCATGCCCATGGCTTTTTGCCTTTAAAATGATGGAGCCTAGAGCCCAGAGAGCCCCAGAACTTCTGGCAGGTGTAGGCAATAGCGCACCCAGAAACCTCTAGACAGAACAAACAGCAGTCCTTTGAAAGGGTAGGGGTCACTTACTTGTGCAGCTCCCTAAGGATTTCCTCCTCACAGGTGGCTTGAAGCCCTGGTCCACTGTGTTTCCCCAGGGAAGGGCTCCATCCACCCACCTGCCCACCCTGCGGCTCAGCCCAGGGCCTCTGCTCCCGCCTACAGACGTGAGTCCACGTCTCTGTCTCCGCAGCTCCTCCCTATAGTCCAGGGTGACTACCTATCCGATTACTTGAAAGCTGGATCATAAGCCCCAGCTTTGTGGCCTAGCCTCTCCCTGGGCTTCCAGTGGCCCTCAGGACTCGCAGAAAAGACCAACCTCCTTATCATTTTCACAGTCTTGTCCGACTCCCTGACCCAGGCTTATCTCTTTATAGGCCACAGCAGCTTCTTCTTTTTTTCTTGGAGGCTTGCTCTTTCTGTCTCCAGGACTTTGCATAATCTGGTCTCTCTGCCTAGAGCACTGATTCCGGGACACCCGCACCTTGTTAGGGACACCTCCTGCTGGCATTCTCCTTAAACACCACTTTCTCCAGGAGCCTTCCCAGAAGGAATCGTCTAACCCTGTTCTGACATTCCAGAGGTCCGTCCAAGTAGCTTCTTTCTCCTGCATTCATCAACTGCCCAATTGTTTATCATGCAACTAACTGCTAAATGTCAGACGCCTGCTTTATATGCCGGCGACACAATGCAGGACAAGACACACTCCCGGGCCTCCTGATGGTCACTTACATTCTTGAAGGAGAAGGTTAAAGATTATGAAAAGTGAACACAGAAACCAAAAAACCACAAATTATGTCCCAGGAAAACAGATTCTAAGTCAGGGCCGGGACACAACCAGTGGGGGGCGACCGGGCCAGAGAGCAGCCGGCGTGGGACACTGAGGGGCGGAGCGGAAGGCCGCCTGGGCCCGGCACCGCCCCTCGCCAGGACAGGCCCCGCCCAAGACCCCGCCCCCGGCCCGCCCCCAGCTGCGCGCGCGCTGGCCGGGCAGCATGGCGGCGGCGGCGGGCGCCCCTCAGCCCGGTCCACCGCAGCCGCCACCGCCGCCGCCGCCCGAGGAGTCGTCGGACAGCGAGCCCGAGGCGGAGCCCGGCTCCCCGCAGAAACTCATCCGTAAGGTGTCCACGTCGGGCCAGATCCGCCAGAAGGTGAGACGCGGCAGCGGCCCGGGCGAGCGCCCCTCACGCCGAAGCGAGCCCCGTGAGGCCCGCGGCTCGGCCGGAGCAGTCTCCCAGGCCCGGCCCAGGGTTCATCTGCTGGGGCGGAGCGCGCTCCGCGAGGTAACGGGCCCATCTCCCGGCCCCGCGCCTGGGCCGAGCGCCCTACCTGGCGCGACAGCGGCGGCGGCGGCGGCGGCGGCCGGGATTCCGGGCCGGGGGCGCAGGTGGGAGCCGCGCGGGGCCGTGCGCCGGGGCCCGGGGCGTCCGCCGCGGGGTCTGAGAGGAAGCCTGGCGCCGCCGGGACCTGGAGGAAACTGAGGCCTAGAGGCGGAGGGGTGTGAGCGCACCAGATAGGGGGCTCCCGGCTGGCTGTGCCCCGCAGGCGTGCGCTCCCCGAGCCCCGGTTCTGCCCGCTTCTGAGCGCTGCTCAGGTCACTTCCCTCCGGGCGCGCCGCAGACTCACCTGTGGTCTTTCTAGAAACCCAGTTGGACCCTCGCGTGCGTTTTCGTGTCCGAAAGGGGAGGGATGCGCGTGTGGTGACCGCCTCTCCTTTCCTCGCGGGAACGCGGGGAGAGTGAGCTTCCCCGACCGCGTACCCGCGTGGCACTTCGCTCTTCGTGGAGAACTCGAGCCCCCCAAATACTGGCTGCGGAGAGGCGCGTTTCCTTTGTGCAGGAGGAAAGTTGCACCCTTTGTCTTCCCACCGCGGGTCCCGTTGCGAACCGCTTCTGGCGACGGCTGCACGGGGCTTCCTCGGGCAGGGGCCGCGCAGGTGGCTGCGGGCGGGCGGGCGGGCGGCCCGGGGCCGCCGCGCTCATCCTGCTGCAGTGCGCTCTTCCTTCGGGCCGGTTAGGTTCAGCTGCTGCCTTCGCCGCGGGGGCCATGTCTGCGCTTACCTTCGGCCGGCTTTTCAGACCCGTGGTGGGGTCGTCTTTCGCCCTCACACGCCGCAAACCAGGTTTATTGTGAAATGCTCCAGGTGCTCAGCAAATAGATCTCGAGCGCCTCTTTCGTTCCAGGTCTAACAGTCGTGATGATAACGATAGCAATTCGTCCGTGCTTGCTGTGTGCCAGTCACTTCCCTTGCATTAACTTTAGAGCACTTGACATAGGTTAACTCCTGTCGTACTGGTGCAGACGCCTTGAGCCGGGTGGCCTCTATCATCCCCATCTTACAGAACTGGAAATCGAGGCAGAGAAGTGATGGGACTTGCCCACGGTGTCCCCGGTGGTAAATGTGGATGTGGATCTGAACGTTGGTCGGGAGACCGAGAGGGAAGGCCATTTCTCCGGCTGGGGGCCCAGTCTGGAGGCGATGGGCACCTGCGCCCGGGACTGTGTGACGTGGTGAGCCCGGCGGAAGGTCAGGGGACTGGGGGTCCAGTTGCCTGGCGGGGAGCCGGGCTAAAGAGGTCCCCTGTCAGACGGGACCTGGAGGGAAAGAATTTTCCAGGCCGAGTCAGGGAACAAGGCTTTCCAACCGGGCTGACTATTGTATGGAAAGGTTTAGGCCCACCGGGGACCCGGCAGAAGGTGAGTGCAGCAGGCGGAGAGCGACTGGGAAGAGGCTGGGAAGGCAGGTTGGGAGGGCTGGCCTGGGATTGGGTTTTTTGCCTCGGGCAACGGGGAGCCACAGAGGGATGGTTATTCATCCTGCGCAACCGGAGCTGAAGCTTTCAGGAAGATCCCCAAGTAGCCCTGAGCAGGAGCGACCCGAGGGGTCCCCTCCTGTTGTGTGGTCCTCCAGCACGTTATGTGCCTGGTGTGGGGTGTGCCCTGTGATATACAGGTGTGATTAAGATTTGATCTTTTAGAGGTTCCAGTGTTTGTCCAGAATTCTGTTAGGACATGCCCCCCCCCAAAAAAACCCAACAAAAAACAACACAACAAAACAATGGTAGCTGCTATACCAGCTGTTCTGGCTGAGGAAGAGTAGTGATGGGTAGAGTGTTAAAAATATACCCTGAGGACTTGAGTTTCTGAATACACTTATATCTGCTGTACAGATAGCTTAAGGCTGATTTTTCTTCTGGGTTGTCAGTGATTGTCAGAATGTAGGAAATGTGAGGTTTACTGTACCCTCAGTTAGTGATGCTCCTGCCCCCCTTTTCAGCAAATAAGCCATTGAGAAAATTTCTTTGGTAGATGTGGTGCATAAGAGAATCATCCAGAATGGTTCAGGGTATCATTCTGAGTCCACAAAGGAAAACAGAACTCATGTTACGTATTTAAAACAGGGAACCTGACATAGGGGCCTGCACACATAAGTGACGAAGGATTGAGAATGCAAACAGTGGGCAGTGAGGCAACCCTGGGGTGAGGCAGCTAACCGGAAACCACTGCCACCCCTAAGCTGGAGGACAGCGGGAGGAGGTGGCATATCTGACTCCAGGAGCAACTGCCACCTCTAGGCTGGAGCCTCCTCGAGTTGTCTGGAGGGGGCTGGGGCCTTGGGGAGGCCACTCCTGTTTGCCTCTCCTGTTTGGGAAAGCCAGCCCACAGGGACCAGCCCCTCCACCGCTTGGAACAGAGCAAAAGCGGAATGGAGCTGAGGACGAGGTGGCCCAGGACCCGAGCTGTATGTATGTCAACTTTTGAAATATTAGCCCATTAAGCTAGAGCTGTCTTAATGGAAAAAGAAAAGGAAGTATCTTATGACAGTACTTCTCAAATTTGAATGTGCAGCAGACACATCCCCTGGGGATCTTGTTAAAATGAAAATTTTGGTTGGGCAGCTCTGGGTGGGGCCTGGGAGTCTTCTCTATTTCTAATCAGCTCCCAGGAGATGCTGCTGCTGCTGCTGGTCCAGGGACGAGACTTTGAGAAACAAGACTTTATGACATACTTGTAAAGAGAACCTTAACAAACTGCAGAGCTTTAGTGCTTGAGGCTCTTTAAAACTCTTCCCCAAGTCTTCTGCGTACTGACAGTGTGATGTGTGTAGATTTGGGATGGTTGGTTGTTTAGCATTTCATGCAGGCCTGGTATTTTTAGGTGTTCCAGTTTCTCCAGCAAACAATTCATCTGTATGTCCTAACCATACTACACAATATGATTCTATAGGACTGCAGAACTACAGTGGAGAAAAGAAATTGGAGTTAATACACTGGTAAATTAATTCATCGGCACATTATTAAGGTATTGTGAAATTTGAGTAAAGGCAGTGTGATTCTGTGGAGTTTATCAGTTAAGGTGGTTTTAATTTATTTAAAAGTTTTTAGAAAGTTAACATTTTTGTCTCTGTGCGTAGGAGTGCTTATAGTCCTGAATTCAAATTTAAACAAAGCATTTTTCCATTGTTGAAATGAAGATTAGTAGAAATTAGGTAAAAGTTTCAAGTTGTAAAAGACCTAAAAAAGAGCTTTATTAAGATAAAATTCACACACCATATAGCAGGCATTTGAAGTATGTAGTTCAGCGATTTCAGTATCATCAGCAACCATCACCTCAGTCAGTTTTAGAACATTTCCATCACCTGGAAAAGAAACCCCATAACCGTGCGCATTCACTCCCCATTTCCTCCCAACTCTCTCAATCGTAGGCAACTGCCAGCCTACTTTCTGTCCTACAGATTTGCCGATTCTGGACATTTCATCTAAGTAGAGATGTGTGACATGTGCCTTTTGTGTCTGGCTTCTCTCACTTAGCATGATGTGTTTGGAGTTCGTCCCTGTTGTAGCACATGCCAGTACCTTTTCCCTTTTTATTGCCAAATAATATCACGGTGTATGGATACACTGCATTTTATTTACATTTACCAATGGATGGGCATTGGGGTTATTTCCACTTTTTGGCTGTCTTGGATAATGCTGCTATGAGCAGTTGTGTACGAGTTTTGTGTGGACGTGTTTCATTTCTCTTGGGTATATACACCTAGGGGTGGATTTGCTGGGTAGTATGGTACCTCGGTGCTTAACCTTTGAGAAACTGTTTTCCAAAGTGGCTGCACCATTTTACCTTCCTCCCAGCAATGTATGAGGGTTCGTTTCTCCCCGTCCTCAGTTGCTGTCTTTTTGATGAGAGCCACCCTAGAGGGTGTTAAGGGATGTGAAAGGTTTTCACAGCTAGTGTGTAGTAGTAGTTAATAGTTTTTGGTGTCAAGTGAAGTTAATCCACATCCTGCTCTCCTGCTTATGAGGCCTGTGATCTCAGACAAGTTTCTCAACTTCTTAAGACTTGGTTTCCTTATCCGTAAACACGGAAAATACTAGTTCTTGGGATGGTGGTAGTGAGAATAAATGTTAGGTGTGCGTCCCCTAGCCCCAGTTTCCACATCTGCAAAATAGAAATGATAATAACAGCTCTCAGATCTGTAAATAGAAGTGATAACTCACAGAATTAAACGGGATAACCCATGCACAACACTCAGCATAGTGCCCTGCACACTGCAAGCATTTGGTAAATGGTTGCTTTTATGATTTATTCCGTCTTTTTGATTGTTCACATTTTGTATCTTGGATAGTAGCCGTCTTCCAGAACCTGTCCTTCCCTACCTCACGCTGATCTGGGTGTCTTTATTTCTGTCAGCTGGAAGGGCAAATAAAAATGAGTCTGGTAGAAAATTAGCAATGAAGAGCTTTTAAAAAATCGTTAATTTAGCACTGGCTGGGTGGCCCAGTTGATTGGGGTAGGGTCCCATACACCGAAAGGTTGTGGATTTGACTTCCAGTCGGGGCACATGCCTCGGTTGTGGGTTTGGTCCTAGGTTGGGGCACTTATGGTGGCAACCAATTGATGTTTCTTTCTCTTTCTTTTTTCCTCTCTCTTTCCTATCCTCTCTCTAAAATGAATAAAAATATCCTTGGGTGAGGATTAAAAATAATAGCCTTGGCGTGGTGGCTCAGTTGGTGTACCATCCGATACACCAAAAGGTTGCGGGTTTGACCTCTGGTCAGGGCACATACCTAAGTTCCAGGTTTGATCCCTGGTCATTAGGGAGGCAACTGATTGATGTTTCTCTCTCACGTGTATTTCTTTCTCGCATGTA